GAGAGCTGCAGCCGTGAGCAAACCACGGCAAGGTGGGTATAGAGAGGGATTACAGTTTTCTAAGGTATTTCTCAAGCTATTTTGACAACAACCTTACGAAATTCAGCATTTGTTCTTTACCTGCCCCCCCAGTTCCTCCCCCCCTGCCGGGCTGCCCCATTCCATCTGGGAACCCAGGCCATTTGCAAGCCAACAGTGCAAGGACAGCTCCCCCTGCAAGCCCAAGGAGAAGCCATCTAACACACACCTGCCTCACCAGGCCTGCAGCACACTCTGTGTTTTGCTCATTTGATCTGATTTCTGCGGTTTTTAATCAGGAGAAGAGAATCCAATCATAAAAGGACACGTGGTCTGCAGCTGTGGCAAAGGCCTTCATACCTGCTCTTATGCTTCCACACAGAAAACAGAATTATTTGGGTTTCTCATCTAATTTGCTGCTGGGATACATCCCTTTCCATACCTGCAGATTTCAGTGGTGCTCCTTGGTGCACACAGATCCCATATATCATCCATGGCAGAGCAAGTCTCATCTGTTGCCCCATTCCCACACCTTGGACGTACTACACGCATGGCTTTGGAAGTAAGAAACAACTGGCACAGACTAGCCATCTGAAAAGCTCAAATAAAAAAAATATGCTTTTTCTTCCTCCCCTAGCACGAAGCAAAGTTTTCCTTAATGAGGGAGAATTAAACAACTTCAGTCAAAAATTCTTCTTGGTTTACCATATCCTTGAGGTTGGCAGTCCACAACCAAGGCCAGTTGGCTTTACCCAAACTCATCAGCTCCCAGAAGCAGCAGTTTTACACATGCAAGCACTCAGGGGGAATTTGTGCATACCCCACAAGTCACATAGGCAAGGTTTCAAACTGCTTGTCATTATCAACAATTATCAACAATGCTTATCATTTCAATTTTATCACAGAAGTATTGTCATCTAGCTCAAGCTTTTGACCCTTTTCGTCATTGTGAAAACAGACTCTCCAGAAATACACCAGCACTCCTCTGCCACCAGGCTCCAGAATTGTCCTAAGAATTCAGGCAGGTGCTCACACAGGCAACATCTGCATCCTACTTGAGAAGGTGTGATGTATTTTTCACCAAAAGAACACCTGCCTGCCAGGAAAACCCCACTAATGGCCTCTGAACAAATCATAATTAGGATGTAAATGGTGGATAACTCAACACTGTTCCCTCCAACAATAGGATTCAATAACTACCACAGCAGGGGCTAAACCCTGCTTTGATTTACCTCCAGAGGAATGTTGTTTTGCTAAAAGAAAGTGATGAACTCCAAAAAAAGACTGGTCATATTAAGTTGTTCTCAAAAGCACTGGTGCTATTTTGCTCTAATTTAAAATTTGACTCCAATAATCAATATTTTTGCTAGTTATTCCAATGATTGCCTAAGAGAGCTGTCATCTAATTTCAATTATTCCCCCATATGTTCAAAACCACTTAACATGATTTTTCTCCAGGAGCCCTGGACATTCTTATTTGTTGATTCACCTAAAAATATGGAAAAATGTAAAAGATTCCCCCACTCTAGTTAATGGGAATAATTATCTTCTCTTTAATGCTGCCACCATTTTGACTAATGCTGCAACATCAAACAGTAATTAAATCTATGGTTACATAATTTCAGTGGGATTACATTTGATTTTGAAAGAAAAGGAAAATAAAGTGTGCTGCATAAAGTGTGTTTCATACTGGACTACAATTTCCTTTTCTCTTTCCCCCAAAAAGGCCACTTTGACTTCCTTCTTATATGTGTACAACACCATCAGCTCAAGGACTAATTACACCAGCCCTGTGCTGCCAGCTGAGGAATATTCAAGTTCTTAAGCCAACACCCAGGCTCAAGACTGGAAAGACCAAGCAATCCTTTGTGCCTGCCTCCCATCTGTGATGGCGTGTTCTCTGCTCTGGGCACTTGCTTCGATTTAATCTCTTGTCCATGAGGCCATGGGATGCTCAACAAATTCTTATACTCATTGTTAAATTGAAAACTTTCTTCCTTAAACACAGAACACTTCAATCATAACAATACTTGCAAAAGCAATAGCAAATATTGTATGTTGCTTTTATGAATTAGAGGTTTTCCAACAGTCAAAACCCTCTTCTTCAGGGAAAAAAAAACCCACAGACTGTCACTGTTGTCCTTCCAACCCACTGGACATTGTCTATCAGATGGATCAGCCTTTAGAATGAACCCCAGTGCATCTGCATTATGTCTCCCTCACTTGAATCATCCGGAGCATCTGCCTGGGGTATTTGTTGTTCAAGCACCTTGTGTCTTCTGTAGATCACAGTCTCAGGTGGACCCAGGTTTGCTGGGCTGCCCAGTCTCACACTGACTGGCACATCTGGCCATTGAAAGTCAGTGAGAGTGGACTAAGACTTGCAACCATCTTCATCAACAGCAAAGCCCTAACCCTCACAGTGTCACACCACACAGACCAAGCAGGATAAAGACTTAGCACAAGTGCTTCATTAACAACTGGGACCAACCACAAACCTTTTGCTGCATTGTACTTATGGTAAAATTTTCAAAAGCAACACAGGCATAGCACCGGGTGTGAACACATCCAGACTATGGTACAGTCTAGGCAGGTGTCATGGGCCCTAGCACTGACTGATGCTCAATTTGACAAAAACCTTTGCTTCTCCACACTGCATTCTACTCTCCAGGGCATTTCTAAAGAAAGATGGCACCAGAATTTCAGAAACAAAAAATTATATCTAAAAAGCATACAGGAATTTACAACTTTCTAAAGAAAACAAATGAAGTTCATGTCCAGCATGAAATGCATGGAAAGGGGGCTGGGAACTGAATTTGCCTAGATTCTAACTCTTACTTTTAGAAGTATATATTTGAGCCTTTTCAGACTTAACTTCCTTTCCAAAATCAGACCATCAAGATCTTAAGAACTAACAGTAGTACACTAAAGGTAAAAGACCTCTATGTCTTGCATCCACTCAAAAGGTATTGAGTAGTCGCAGTCTTGGATTTTAGATTGATGATGATGCAGAGAGAAGTTCACACATGATGCCAGGGTAAAAAATGATTAACAACTATCCTTACATTGATAATAAATGCATTCTCAAATTACACCTGCCCTGGGAACCATTTACTGCCAGAATGAGACCATCATTTGCTGTTGGAGGCAGCACCCTGCACAGTGTGACAGGAATTCCCCAGCCTTCTGTAAAGAATTTCAGTCACAGAGGAAGGCAATCCAAAATACTGCCAAGAGAACAGTAAAATACCTTTTCCCTATTTCTTGCAACTAATTTCTAATGCATGGCTCACAACATCGCATCAAACATCATCTTTCTACTGGAGAAGGTGATGATTTTCAGGGGTGAGCATCAACGTGCTCTGTACATCAGCTAAAAACAAATCCAGAAACACCAGATTCTAGAATTAGAGCATAAATAGTAAACTGTGGTCCTTTGAACATTTTTCTAGAGACAGCATTTTTGGGTTCTTGGAAGCTAAAGTCTCAGACTCCTCCTAAAAGAAAAGGTAATTAAATAGTTTGGGCCTTTCACAGTCTATTTGCATGTTTTCCATTGGCAACACAAGTGTAATAGGAGATGTTACATTCCATAGTAAACAGCATACGGCTATCCAGGAAACTCTCAAGATAGGGACAAAAGTGTTTCTACATGATTGTTACGTGAGGGGCAGAGTGCCTTTGTCACTGCACTGGGAGCTGCAATCACTGCAAAAACCCTCCAATTCCAGGGAACAGCAAACTTCTCCTAGACTAGAAGAGAACAGGATCAGTCACCAAGTGACATAACTGGAGAGAACAAAATATCCAAGAGGAAAAAAACAATCTAATCTTTCTCCTCCTCTTTTTAAAGAACTGAAAACTAAAATACGTCAATTTTTTTCTTTTGTTACTGCAAAATACTGTTTAAATGGGGGTTGCTTTCTCTAGTATCTAACACACTGTTTTACATACAGTATGTACCATAAACCCATATCAACATTGTAAACATCCCATCTAAATCCTGAGCATTTTGGTGATTGGATACACTTAGTTTTCTTTCCTTTTTTTTTTTTCCCCTAAACTATTGCACAGGCTGTGGTTTGGGGTTCACACCACCAAAGGACTACACTAAGTGGAAAACTATCAAGATCTAACCTCCAAAAGGTTTCTGTAACTGCAGGTCAAAAGTTTTGCCTCCTTTGGACTAGAAAATATTATAAACCCCCCTAAAAATTACCTGCTGTGTTATCTACTAACCCCAAAGCAAAAAGAAAAAATAAAATTGTTTTTCACATTCTTGACATAAAATATCTCTGTTATTTTCTTTTGTGTTACATGTAAGCCAACCTGGAAATTTCCTAATCATTGCCTGCCAGACATGCACTTCAAAGACTAAAAATCAGATTCATAAGGAATGGACACCAGCAGATATTGGATTTGATTAGTAACTATTTGGAGTGCAGAAAAAGGTCACCTCTTACCAAGTTAAACAATTGCAGCTATTTCACTAATACACTGGATAAAATCAATGATCATTCTCATTTTAAGCCTGTCAGCAATTTTTTTCACTCTAAAGACCCGAGTTAATCAGACTGTAGCCACAAACAGGCTTGGGTAGCAAAGGAGTATCAATTTCTGACAGCTGCATTGGCAATCTAGAAAGCAAGTTTAAATTAGAAGTTGACACTAATTTTACTTAATGGCAACCAAAAATGATGACTAGAAAAATATAATGATTCCATTTCAGCCATTTTTAGGATATTTTTTCTTAGTTCAACCCTGTATATGCCAGCTCAGAGGAATATGTGGAACTCCACTTACAGGATTTCGCCTCATTCTTGAACACTTCTTTGTAATTTTACCAACTGGGCACCCACCAACACCTGCTGCAATATAATTTTTTCATCTTCTAGAAAAGGCAATATAAAACCCAGTATTAAGATCCAGTTGTGGTGATTATGTACTGAAAAGCAAGAAAAAAAGTGCTTGGAGATGTGACATTTTAAAGCATCTCTGTAAGTTTAATTTTTAAAGGACAGAATGAGGAATAATAAACCCTTCCCATACTATAAGGTATGCATACCACTTGTACAAGAAAAACCCAAATAAAATGATCAATCAAAGTGACTAAAGAGGTGTGAAAACAGTGCAAGGTGGAATTGTTGGAGACTGGTTGAGGTCTTGGAGATATCATTTTTTCTTTTGAGTGAATTCTGCTATGTCCTTTGCCTTTAAAATAACAGTGCAATTTGCTTTTCTGATTTCAGTGGAAAGCACTTACTAAATAGTTCTGCCAATAAGAGCATTCAGAACTGTGCTCTAGTCACTCTCCTGAAAGGCAAACTTTCTACTGCTAAGAGTAGAAATCCAGAATGGGATCATATCAGGCAAATGCAACCAGTAAAAACCCCAAATCCTGTTTTGAGCGAAAGTTCACTCTGACAGAAATGCAAAGCTAAAAGAACCCCTGAAGTAATAACACACATGTTGATTGGCTTTGATAGAGAATGTTTTCCAATGTTTTTGGGGAGGTATCAATAGGATCATGAAATTTGAATGTGTAACAATGGCAAAAAGTGATGAGTGTAATGTCAGAAGTTTAATACAGAAAAGACTTCTACGAACTCTGCCTTTCACAAGCAAACCTCTTCTTAGTAAAGGGCTGCAGGATCAAAGTATAAAAAGTACATATAGTCAAATAATTATTGAGAGATACTGAGCTTTATGTATATAATTCCTTCTGTGGGAACAAGTCTCTAAATTGTGTGGTACTGGTTGGTGCGGCCAGTCCCCAAGAGCATTAATATTTTGAAGCCTTGATTCTATAGACCACTGGCTTCCCATAAGGGTCTATACAAATTACTCAAGACTTTGTGGGGTTTTGAAATGGCTACACTGTATAAAAATGTTTTTGTATTTATTTTTAAAAAAATTATCTTTACAAAACAACTTTTCCCTTTTTTTCTTTTTCTTTTTTTTTTTTCTTAAAGATATCATTATCTACAGGAACCCATAAAAATTTTTCCATATTTACATCTAGATAGCTAATCATTGACAAATATAATATCGTGAAATAAAATATTGAAAGTGAATATCCAACTTTTTAAATAGACATTTGGCTCACAGCATAAACAACAGAGAAAAACAAATGAACAGAACAAACAAACAAACAAAAAAAAGATCTGCTCTTCTTACAGGCCTGATCTTTTTCTTTCTCTTAAAAAAAAAAAAAAATGAAAAAAGGAAAAAAATGTATATCGGTGGGACCAAACATGCTGCTTCTAAGCAGAATGCCAGCAACAAACTGCTCCCATCCAGCACCTCACACTGAAAAACCGAGTTCTCTGAAGGTCATGTGAGTGGTTGCTGAGACACACGAGTGTCCAGTGGATGCAGGACTGGCATCTGTCCCCCACGCTGCTCCTAATGCATTGCCTGCATTGCTCTGAGGAGACAATGGCCTCCCCACTCCCCTTCTTTTGCTCTCCCAAGATGCAGTTTAGCTTTGTTCTTAAATGATATATTTGGTCATTGATGCATGGAGGTGTTAGGTTGCGGTAGGAACTGACAGTGCGCCTCTCGCTTCCAAGGACACGTTTGCTCTCTGTTCCCTCCTGCCCAAACACGCTGCCCCACACAGCCATTCACACAGAGGGCCAGGTCCTCTCCAGGGGAACAGAGCAGTGTGTCACACAGTCCCTCTCGACCCCCTTTGGAAAATACACCTTCCTGGCACATCCCTTTCGCCAGCAGTGCGGGAAGTGCTGAGGAAGAGGAGGAGGAGGAGCCCGCACAGCCGGACAGGGCAGGCTGGCAGCCTGGGCCAGCGTGGTCTCTGTTGAAAGGCTGCTGCCTGCAGCTGGAGTGCAAACTGGGACTTGGAGGCCTATGGGGAATGCAGAGCTCCTCAAAATGGGCTCCATTTCCCTGGTGGGCACAAATTCTCTAAAATCCGGGCCTTCTGTTTGTTGTCATGTACTGGGACACGTGCTACAGCTAGTGTAATAAGAACTCAAACTATGCTATATTTCCACACATCCACTCACACTTGCAAACACCCCCTCACACACACATATGTGTTGGCAGGATATATCAGCATTCATATAAAGCTTTGGAACTTTTATCCCTCAGCATTAAGAGCAAAAGCTACTTAACTGGTACCTTACTGTTAACTGCAAATGTTCTTCAGAAGCAGCATTTCCTTAGATAACTTTCTTCTGTAAATATCACAGTGACCATAATATATCACTAAATGTATTTTGCTGAAGTGTGCAGCCAATAACCCTGGCTATATATATATATTTATATAATTCCACCCACCCCCAAATCTCTTTAAAGAAAGTCTGTAAAAGCCGGTGTTGCAGTGTGAAAGCTTCCTTGAGCATAGGAGTTTAAACAATGTACCTCACCATAAAAAGGAAAGAGAAACAAATTAAACAGCTGTAGGCGCATTATCCCATACTTCTACAGTGTTGTGTCTAAATGCTGTGCTGGCTTGAGAAAGAGTCTGTGCACAAGTCAATCTGTCTTAAAATACTGCTGTAAATATTGTCATTGGTTTGGTTCTACAGTTGTGTTCTCCTCTTCATCCTTCTTGGGCTTCCCTTTCTCCTCCTCCTCTTCCCTGATGGCCTGGATTTGTTCTGAAGATTGGTGCAGTGGGGATTGCTCTGCACCTTGCTTCTCTGACCCAGCTAACCTCTCCTCGTCCTCAATTACTTTCTTCCACATTTTATGGTTCTGAAGCAGGTGCTGAGTGATCTGACAGTAGATTTTCCTCCTCTTGAACTTCTTCTTTCCTGTAAAACACCATGTGACATTAATGTACTGGTTTCTGCGAGAGAAGGAAAAGGGACTGAAGGTGTAGGAAGTAGACAGGGGGTACTATGACATATAGGAACTGGACCAACAGAATTTTAAAACCACAAATTTAAACAGTCTTAAAATTCAGAAAGCTACACCTCTCCAGACCTCTGGGAAAGCAAACTGGTTTCCTGCACAGTTTGAGCCCCAGCTTCATCCTATCCCAGGCTACATGTTGTGCCTGACTTTGCTGCTCACAGAGGCATCTAGTGCTTGAATGATTATGCATAAAGCATGTTGTTGAGCTGTTTCTGCTCATTTAATATCAAGTACTTAAAGACCCTGATCAGCCTCTTTCATAACACACATTATTAAATTCTGTGCCCTCCCCAAACCCAATGGATCCCTGCTGATTGTCTGAGGGAAAAAGAATTGTTTTCTCTACATTTTACCTCTGAGCTGAGCTGTAGAAGGATAATGAATGAAGGGTTACTAATGAAGCATTAGTGATCAAAGGAGGGAACCCACTCCTATGTTCCATTGTCAAATCAGAGATCTACTATTCTACCATTGCAGTGGAGGTGACCTTGAAGCTTTAGCACAATATTGCTTTGGCAGCAGTCTCACCACTGAAGAAGTATTCATATAGCCAAATACTATCAGGGAGCTCAATTGTCTTATTTTGAAGCATCAGTCCCCTGCTGTTAACCTATAAAGTGTTTTTGTCACTGGTGGCTCTCATGGCTCCTGACACAGCTGCACTACAAGTGTTTTGCTCTCTGAAGGGTGTTTTGTTCTGTCAATATAGTCTGTCCAACAGAGATTGTTAACTCCTTAACAGTACAAAGCTTGAAAATTTTCCCTGGTCATTAACAGTGCCACTGGCAGTCGCAGAACTGAAATAACAACCCCTCCAAAGACAACTGCTGATTTCTTTTTTAAAGAATGTGACGTAGGGGAATGTTTTGTACCAAATAAATTTGCGTGGATTAGTATTTGCAGGTTGCCTAAAGTATGTCTGTGTCAGGATCCAAAACGTTTAGCCCTTGAAGCTTTTGAACTGGAAACAAAGGGCTTTTCACTGAGCACAGACCAAATCCAACTCAATCCTTCATTAGAAAGCCCTTGGTTCCCTGTAGGAAACCTTCAGGTTTAGCACTAATAAGGAGCCCCTACCCTGCCAATGCCTCAAGCAGGACATTCTCTCCTGGGTTTCCTGAGTGACCCCACATCTTGTTGCTCTCTGCAGACACCAGTGAGCAGTTGCTGTGGTGTTAAAATTTGTCTGAATACCTGAAGACCGAGACTGTTTAATTCTTACACTTGCATCAGACCTTCAGTGAAAGTACATGCTCCTGTGCAGTAACAAATATTATTTCAAGCTACCTTGAGGTTTTATAACTCTTAAATTTATCTCAACTGCTTCAGTGAATTATCAGGACCTAGTTGAAGTGTTTTCTGCTGCAATTATATTTCTATCTGCCTGAAAGGCATTTCCATCAAGAAAAAGATCTTTACTAACATCTATACAACTCTTCATATCTATGCATCTGATAATTCAACCTCTTATTTTGTTTCACTGAGAAAGTTTAGAACATCCAAAATTTTGTTGATCATTATATAAATTTCTTATGACCTGTAAACCCCCTATATTGACACAAAATATGTCGTAGATTCCTGATTCAGACTCACAGTCACACAGAATTTAGGGAACCTGAAGAAAACAGTTTGTAACACATTGGCATGATTGTGAAGATTAGCAGCCCACATTTGGTAAGGAGGAAGTAGGAAGAATTTGTTGGATATTTCACAGCTTCTGATACATTCATTTTTAAAGTTTTGAAAACCGTAGCCTAAAAACACCAGGCTGACTAGTAAAGTTCTATAGCAGAGTAGAATGTGAAAAAGAAAACAGAAAAAAAACTAAAAAGGAAAACAGAAATCAACTAAAAATGGTCTGTTTTTAATGTGACAACAGTTAATAAAGATCAGTGCTTTTAACCTGAAAAAACCATTGTTGGACTCTGCTAGTGGTGATACAGAAGATAAGTATACAGAGATATGAGATGAAAGGAAACTGGGGATTTTAAAGGTGAGACAGTCCAGTGGATATATGAGAACATCCTTCATCTTTCTTTTTAATACAGCAATAAACATTTCAGACTTTGAAGTCTGGGTTGGTTACCTATCACATACACTTTCCTCCTGGTAGGCAATTCCATAAAGGCCAATCTGCCACAAACATGTGGCTCTGCCTGCTATTACAAAACTGAGGGATCCTAAGATGCTAAAATCAACCTGTGTGTGTGTTATATTACTTAATGTTTGCTGTTCTCAACAACATTTTTAATGCATGAGAACCTGCTAAACCTAACACACATGCAAGTGTGTGTGTGTGTGTGTGTGAACAACAGCAACGATTTCTTAAATACAAACCATATACCTCTGGATTTTACTAGAGATAAAAGGTTAATTCTGTACATCAGGAGACATAGGCTTTAGTCGCTCATGTGACTTATTGCAATCACCAACTCTTTCTGCTTCTCAGTTTCCTCAGCGGAAAACAGGGATGATACTCAGGTAATGGAGGGCATGAAAATGTGTGGGAAAGATCAGAAAAAGTGAGGCTGTTAAAAGAAAAAGCTCTTTATCGATATTTCACTAGCACACTTAAGGTTGGTGCTTCCTAGAAGGGGAGAGAGAGGAAGATGACCCAGAGGAAGGAAAAAAAAGAACTGTAGTAGAAAACTCAGAGGGAGAAAGAATGTGAAAGAAATAAAAAGGTAAAGCATACAGCATTAAACTGATAAAAGAAATAGGTCTACAGTTGCAGTCTTTTCTCTTAAAGATCACTTCCCATGAGTGTCTGGAATCTCCTTTCAAAGTAAAAAGCTTTCCTCTCAGTATGACAAGTACTGGCACTGTGTGCCTTCTGGAGGAGAGGCAGGAAACTATCAGCTTTAGTTACTGATTAGCCAGAAGGGCCAAGTGACACAGCTCCCAGCACACAACGCAGCCATGGTCAGAGCCAATTCTCTCATCACTCTTCTCCACACATTACCTTGGAGAGGCTTGCATTGAAATACTTCCCCTGTTAAAACCTCTTTTACTGCACCAGCACCTCAGACCCTCATTTCATGGTAATTCATGGAAACGAGGAGTGTTTGCCTTGAAAAATCTTCTCCAAATTGTCCTTTATTCAAGTGAAATTGTTGCAGTCTACTAACACCAGTCCTGAAAGAGTCTAGAAAGCCCTCATGCAGAGATGGGTGATCCACCACCAGAAACCTCAACTGAAGGTAGAAATGAGTAGTAGATATGAACTGCACAGTTCCTGAAATCATGGAGTATCTCCATTACCAACATAACTGGCTACATGCCAGCATCTCCAAGGACAGCACAGACTCACTGTCACTCTGGAGAGGCCTGTGTTAACCTGACCAGTTCACAGTCTCTGCTTAGTTTTTTGGCCACAATATGGAACTCGTTCTGTCGAAAAATATAAGCGTGAACAACTTACTGGATTCGGCATTTTCACAAGTTTCCATTTCTGCTGTTTCTTCCTCTTCTTGCTCATCAGTGTCTCCTGATTCATCACTATCTTCTATCCACTTTCCTGGCATCAGCCCCGCTGAGTCATAGGAGTTACATAGTGGTCCCACAATGTGAGTGATGAAAGATTCCTGGAGGTGTGCCAGCTGAGGGGCAGAGCGGTCCATGAAAGGACTGATGGGCAAGCCCAGGCTGGCCTCTTCATCACCCTGGAGATGGAAAATAGCAGTAACTTCTCTGAAGTAAACGAAACAAAACTGTGTCACAAAAAGGTAAAGCACATCCAACCAATTAAAAATGATGAAAGAAAAACAACTGAACTCCAATGCCACTTCCGTAGCACGCCAGCATGACATTGCCACAGCGCCATCGTGTCAAATGGTTAATCAAAGTTACAGCTCTTTTCTTGTGACAGTGCAAATTGATCAAGGATGTTTTTGATCAAGGATGAATTGATGGCTGGGTAGAATGTTGCCCATTGCCCTTGTCCTGTACTTTACATTGCGAGTGTGAAAATTTGGAAGTTTTTATTTTATTTGTTTCTTCACATTATTTAAAAAAACATCCCTTCTGATTTTGTGATTCTAAGTTCCCAGTAACCTTGTAGTCAGCCACCTGTTTACACAGAATGAGACTGAACTTCTACAAACAAAGGCTATCTCACTGAACTAGTTTTCTTACTAATCTTTTCCTTACTATACATAGCATGGAGATTTGGGGTTTGGGTCATAAGTATTGGTTTCCTGGGACTATTAGAATGATCCCTACAAAAGCAAAGATAGCTCAAAAGCAGTAAACCTTTCCCATGAAGCTTTTTGTTAGTTTTTCTTGGAGAGAGAGGGTAGAGGGAAGGTAGAGGAAGACTTTTTTCTTTCTCCTCTCATGATGTAAAATAAAGTAAAACTTTATTGCAGAACCAAATCTGACATACTCACAGCAAAGCTTCTGGTGACAACACTGAGTTGTCAGCTGAGTAGACATGACAAGACCAGATGTCATCTCCCCAAGAAAAAAATCTAATTTACCTAATCAAGCTTGATATATAAATTCATTTTTTAATACAATACAGAGTTCTATATTTGAGAATATAGTTTAGAATTTGGAGATACATTTTCAGTTTCCATCACTTTACAGATTGCCTATATTTATTTCCTTCTAAAGTAAATTTCCCAAAAGTCATGGACTTTGCATCTAGTCAAAACTGTGTCTGTATCTGTATTTGGTGAAGGCCTAAGAATGAGAGCTACATTTTGGAGCATGTACAGCAAATGGCTCACTTCCTTGTGTTTTGTTTGTTGCTTTTTTAATAACCCACCCCTAAACGTTATGTTCAATCATTAGACACAAAATACTATTGTTGACAAAACACTGAAACATGCCATCCATTCTTGAAAACAAATTAAGAAGAGGTGGCAGCTTGCTCTTCTTTACAGCAACATAATGTGAGATTTCCTGTTTTTGAGTTGTCAGTAGTGGGAAGAATGCTGACTGTTGAAATGTTTACAAGTTCTTTTTTCATATTCTGCTAAAACATTATTTATTATGTGAAAAGTCTTGCAGCGTGTTTTTTGTTTCTATTTAATATGTCTAACCTGTCTTCAAACAAGTATGTTGGGTATGTGAAGGGAAGAGAAGGAAACTTCCTGTAACAATATGACACTGGATTTTGGATATTTCCATACAACACATTTTTAACAGAGTTTTATTTATATGGGAGTGAAATTCTTCAAACAAACTGGAGTTTATTAAAAGAAAGATATTTTATGATTTTCACAGCATAGGTTGAATTTACATATGTATGCTTTTTGATAATAATTCCAGGGAAATTCAAACTTTCCATAATGTTCTCCCTTTTAGAAATGAGAATATGAAGACTTTTCCCTTCTCGGAAAAAAATCTGATGATCAAAAGCATGGTGACCATGGTTTGATACACCTCTCGTAGCACATCACATGACAGAAAAACAGATTTTAACCTAGGTTAAATGAACTGAGAATCTAACTTAGCCTTCTTAATGCCAAAAGTAAGTCCAAAAAAGAAAATGTTCTGAGTCCCATTTCTGAATGATGGAAAATAACCCAGATTCCTATTGTGGAACAGATAATGTGGTATCTTCCCACACATGTATCCTCCCAAGCTTAGTTCACTATCCAACACTTGGAGCAGTTACTTCCCTCTGACACTATTTATGTTGGATCAAAGGAAAGTCATATCATTATATCTGACTAACAGGTTTTGTCTGCATGCAGCAGTCACCCACATAAGGTGCGATCATCACCAGAAATGTGAAGTACGATTCATTTGGACAGTTGTAATGAAGAAGAAAAGAATTTCCTCAAAGAAAATTTGGGAGATGAAGGTTGTTTTGGGACACACTCCCTGTTTTTCAGAAAAAATGAAAAGAAAAATGGAACCAACTATATTTGTAATAGACGTAAGGTTCATTGGTTTTTTTGCTGGTTTTTTTTTTCCTCAGGAGATCTCAAATAAATGAAGGAGTTTCAGGTCAGTGTCTGAATTTTGTCCCTTTCCCCGCTTCTTTACATACTCCAGAAGACAGTAGTAAATCCTGTTTGGTTTTTTTCCAAACTGTAAGTGCAGGAAATTTAAAGGAAGCTGAAAAGGCTTGAAAAGGGATTAGTCTGTGACTACAAGTTACTGCACAGCCTCCCCAAGAAGTCTGTGGGATGTCTGGTTCAGTGATTTCGCCTGTTTGCTTCATCTGGAAAAGACAGGATGTGGAGTTTAATCTAACTAGCCCATTCAAAATATGTTCCCACTCAGGAAACAGAGGAATAGTGTGGGAACAGCCCTGACCCTTGCACTCAGCAGGGCTAAATAGGTTATAATGAGAAAAGGTTCAATTAAGGGCTCCCTTACACCTAGAAAGAGAGGACCAGTGCCTGGCTGTACTCCCAGGTCTTTGTAAATCAATCTGTGGTTGTCCTCCTTCCTTGTGCTACCATCAGCAGAGCCTTGTATAATTAGTGCAGTTGTACTGACAAACCTTCTGAAAGCTGGAAGTGTTGTCTTAAAAAATAACAAATGAGTCAGGATCAATGTGTGGGGAGTTTGTGATAAACTGAAAGTCAACGTTACAGTTGGGCTCAGCACCATAAAGGTTTTGTGCGTGTGTGAACACAGATGTGGCCCATGGGGAAGAGAACCTGCTCTGTTTAGATCATCTCAACAAGGATGTCGTGTCCACTTTTGGAGACCACGTGTCAATAAAAGTGTGAGACACCTGGAGTGACTGCAGAAGAGAGCCATGAGAACTGGTTGATATCTTGAAAGGACTTAGAAGTAAGGATGAAAAGACAGTTTGCATGAAAGAACACTGAAAGGGAGACATGATGACCAAAAACAACAAAAAAAGAGGAATGGAACACTTGTTCACCATGATCACTGTATGGATAGACTAAAACAGTTAAGCTCTGTACAAATATCATCATCAGAGGTCTTTGAGGACACACCAGAAGCTTCAGTGACAAGGGACTTTTACTGGTCCAGCAAAAGGATGGATTAGTGTAACTCTAGCCATCCTCTTCTCCCCTATCTCTATGATTTTTACTCATCACCAGCACTATCATGCTCCAGGGCTGTTTAACACCAGACATGCAACCAACAGATACCACTTTGGACACGCATTTATTTACCTGTTCATAAAACTCATTGACGATGCCTTCTGTCCACTGCAGATGCAAATCTTTGCATTTTGCAGGCCCGTTTATGTCGGCCAGTTTGATGCACATCTGGCAAACCAGCAAGCGGTCGTTCTCGTTAGTCCAGTCGATTCCAACATCATCATTCACCTGGTGGGCAGACAAAAGAAAACCATGACAGTAATCCTGGGCAAAAGGATGCATCCACAGAGGAAGTTCAGCCCTGGGATATTGCACAGTATATTTAGCTTTTGAACAAAATCACAAGCATAACCCCAGGCTGAAATTAACAATCAGCTGTAGGGTAATATGTTTAAAAAAATAGAAAAAAAAAAAAAGGTGAAAACCAAAGAGCAATGAGATTAATAATGGAAAATCAGTATTTGCTAGGGCAACAAAAAAATGCAATCTTTCCATGACATTTTCCAAGAAGCTAATATCTAATTGGTGTACAAAGATAAATTACCATCAAATGCCATGCTGATTCAATTGCAGTGTGAAGACACAGGTAACAAGTTTATTTCCCTATTTAATCTAGTATGGCTGAAATTATTTCATAGAATCACAGAATCAGCTGGGTTGGAAAGGACCTCTGAGATCATCAAGTCCAACACTTCATTTTTTTTTTAATTTTTTTTTTTTTTTTTTTTTTTGGAAATCCAGTCTAGGTTTCCCCCCATTCCGTACTCCCGACAAAATCCAGTCTGGGTTTTCCCCCATTCTGTACTCCAGATAAAATGCAGTCCAAGTTTTCCCCCTATTCTGTCCTCCAGGCAAAATCCAGTCCGGGTTTTCCCTGATTCTACACTCCACCAGAAATCCAGTCCCCCAGCCCCTCAAAGTGGTTCTGGGATGCCCCAACATAGGCACCACAAGGTGTGAACCCCCCAAGGTGACACCAGAACAGTGTTTTCTTTATTGCTGTCATACGAGACTGCTACTCAGTCTACAGCTCAAAAGATGTTGAGGGAGGTGGTTTTGCAAAGATAGTTCCATGTAAGTGTTTCATTAGCAGCACTTACCTCCTCAGCATGTTGGCTAAAGGACAAATTAAACAGCAACAAGGAAGTCAAAACTTATTTGTCTTCTGAAAGACCAGTATCTATATCCTAAATAAGACAAGTCATCTTACCAAAGGGTAGCTTAAGATTAGAGATTTCGAAACTCCCTCCATGGGTTCCTATGACCTGGGATGTTTATTTATGTATTTTATCTAGTGATTATGTGTATCCAAAACACATGGAACTGCCCAGAGAGTAGGGAGCAGAACCTGGGACTTTCTCTTGCTCGGAGATCACTAGGCAATAAATTGAAGGACTTCCACAAGCTCTCCATGAACTTTTCCTGAGACACCAGAATGCCCAGTGAGCACAGCTCCTTCTCCCAGAGTTTGTAATAAGCTGGAGGTTAAAAGTCCTGCTACAGGTGAAGAACTGACTGTGATTCTTCTCAAAGACAAGTGGTAATTATATTCCACACATTCTGGGGAAGTGCTCAGCCAAAGAGTTATTGTACAAAAACACTGCAGCAGCAATGCTTCCTCTGGCTGCATTTCAGAAGGGACAAAGCAGCAACTTCCCACTTGTTCAGAACTCTTCCCAGCTTTGTTTTCAAAATAAGATCTAATCCAAATGTTCCAAGAGTCCTAAAATTCCTGGATTAAATTTTATTTGGAGCCTCAAAGTTTTATACCAAACAATGCAGTGCCTAGGTCCCTCAGGTCTAATCCTTTACATATGGGCCTGTGAAAAAAATAAAAATACTAAGCAATATGCTATGAAAAACAAATTAATCTTCTGTGAGCAAAAGTTTGACTGGGCTAAGTGTAACTCCCAATCTAGTCCAGAAGGGAAAATGAAACAAGTGATCTTATTTAGTGCTCAGAACTAGTTACATTTTACTGATTATTCACACGTCTGATTCTGGACCAAGGTATGATCATAGAATCAAGTCACACCTCTTCAGAAGACATCAGGGAAACATCCCCAAAAGATGTCAGCCAACGAAACTGAAATCCATCTTTGCACATTTTTATACAGAGGAATCAGCTAGGAGGTCCTAGGCCTGGATAAGAAACACACTGTTCTTGGTGTGTTTCTCACAAGGAACAAGAAGGCAGTACCAGCTCCAAAGGCAGGTATCTAGTTAACATGCCAACAGCTTTGATGGGTGATGGAGTTTATTAAAGTAACTTGATAGGAGGTGGTTTCCAATAAGTTAGGTTGAAACTGTAAATGAATTTTAAGAATGGTTTCTCCCAGGGTTGTGATTTTATACTCACTGAATGGAGTGTGCAGGAAAGATCTTTAGTGACGCTTCTCTGGGGTTTACCCATTTGAAAGAAAGGAGGAAAGAAAGATCATGCTTCCCTGCATTTGAAATTATGATTTCACAATTGTTATGATCTCCATGCCTTGATGATATAGCAGTATGATTAAATCAATACAAATTCACTGGAAGTATTTAGCCATTAAGAAAACTTCGTAAAACCTTCGACTATTTTCCCCCGAGTCTTTTGCTAATAGGTCTTAAGTGCTGTTGAACAAGAAAACAACGTTGAAAAGGAGGATGTAAGTGGGATTTACACTCAAATAGTCCATAATATCTTTAGCCTTAAACCACTTTCTGAAAACACTAAACATATATAAGAAGAGAAGCTGTGCCACTAAATCTAAATAAGTAAAAAACAACAGAAAGGTCAGATTACTGTTCAACAGAATGTTTTACGGCAGCCAAAAGGACAATCAGAGGAAACAGCAGCACAGCAGCCTTTCTAGAATTTTCGCTGTGCTGTGGCCAAAACGACATTCTTTTCTGACCTTCCACCAGAAACCCCAACCCGAACCTTACCTTGGCATTGAATCTGGCGACAAAATCAAAGTGTTTCTTCAGGTCAGTAGCCAAAATTGCCTCGATGACGAGGAAGCGAAAATGCTTGAACTCCACGTGGTCGAGGTTGACCAGGAAGTTGTACTCTGGCCTCGACATGAAGAGGTTCCAGGCAGCAGCGGCGTGGTGGTTCTCCAGGACGGAGCGGTCGTTGTACAGCACTGCCTGTGGAAAGCAAGGCGGGCAATGGAAAGCTGAGAAACATCTCAGCAAAATCACAGCAGTGCAAAAACGGGACTGACATGGGGGTGGATGCTCGAGGGAGGTTCAGGTTTGGTCGTTTTGTTCGTTGAGGTTTTATTTTAAAAGAATTTCTCGAGGTCTGAGGATGTGATTTGGGCAGGACTAATAGCAGACACCAGAATTGTTCTGATGGTGATGATTTATTGAAAGATTGATTTGAAAAAAATCTGGGTCTTTTATGCGCCAGGGTTTTTGCTTCCTGACCAAACTGTATCATATGACAACAGATAATTCTGTTTCAGGCCACAGATTAATGACTAATATAACATAGGGTTGTGTGCTTGCCTGTTTCTTAGAGCTAACCTCAGTTAACAGGGATTATTGTCTTTGGTAATTGCACCTGACAATTGTGTCCATGTTGGATCAATTCCAAACACAGACACAAGCGAAATTCCAGTTTGCAATCTGACAACACACATTCAGCCTGACAGATTTCTCAGTGCTAAAATCCAAAACAGGTGAAATCTTTACTGAAACAAATTGCATAACTCTCATAAAGAGTGGCAATTTCACTCAGAAGCTAAAGAAGGATGTAGAAAATGGACTTAAGGGGACAACAACCATCCAGGAAACCTCTCCATCTTAGCAGCATTCAGTCTTTTGACAATTTGGTTTATAGAAAGAAAAGCTTTCAGAAATATGCTTCCATGTAAGATAGATATAAGTTTTTTAAGTTTCTACAGAAATATATACACATACATTCCAGTGCTTTCACTTTAATTATATTTTTATGTCACCTAGAGATGAAAGAATTCAATTCTATCCTAAAATATAGAATCTGTTCTTTATCCCAGAGTACACGTTGCTGAAGAAATTCAACTTCACAGACCTAACTGCACAGTAAGGATTTGAGATATTCTGCTACTCAGGCCCAACTCCTGAAGGCAGATTTTTAACACAGCAGTACTTTAACATTACTGGAAGTTGATATTGCTTGTCATGTAAAAGAAGAAAAAACCTAGATGCCAAATATAGGTTCATCAAATTTCAGGTGATATCAGGTTTTAAAAAAGCCCACAAAAACCCAACAAACCAAGCCCCCAAAAGATAATAGGAAGAATTTGATTTTCTTCTTATAAGAATTATTTAAAGCTAATCATCTAACTTCCTTTTTTTTTTTTTTTTATTTTTTACAACCACAAAGCACTCATTTCTTAAAATTAGATTTAAGGATAGTACACGTCTTCTATCAATTTATTTACCTGGCCAGAGTATCAAACTTCTCTATCACAGAAAACATTTTTGCAAGGATGAGAAGTATTACTATCAGTCTATAGACAGAAACTGATACAGAGCAAGTCTGGATGCCAGCTGGGGAGCAAATCTAGAATTTCTGCATCCCTACCCAATTGTCACCATTAAACTATCCTTTTCTCTTTCCTTGTCCATAGAAGTATTTTTCATTACAGTATGCTGAAGTCAGGCAGGTCAGCTATGCAAAGCAAGGAAAGATGATCTCATAATAAAAAGTGACTCAGAATTGCTGAATTCAACTCCCAGCATTGACAGTACCTTCTGTGTAACCCTAGGCAAGCCTCAATTCTACATTTATAAAACTGGGATTATTTTCCACACTCCCCTCCTCCTTAATAGATGCATAGTGAAAAAATACTTTCATAAAAGAGAGCAGCTGCTCATGTTCAATAGAAAGAACAGAAAATATGGTACGATCATGCACAGACTAACTTGCAAGGTGTGGTTAACTATACAAGTTTTTATTTTATTTTAATCTTTCTGTGCCTTGTTGGGTAGAATAATTCTTCCCTTACTTCACAGTTAGAGATTCTGTATCAGTCAGCAGAGCTTTAGCTTCTCCTGACAGAGTTTATCAGTACCTTCCTTAACAGCTCTGCTAACTGAAGGTGTGTAAGAAGACTCTTACTGGCAATCCCTAAGTGAAGCGATTATTTCTGTCACTTTGACAAGCTGTTTCAAAATATTTGGCAGACTTGTGCTTAATGGAAGCCACAGGTACCACTGGCAAGGAAAAGCTGTCATCAAGACCTTCCAAACTTAACAGCAACCCTGGTTGAGATCTATTTACCTGAGGAGCACTCGTTGCTACCAAAAAGGCATTGGTCCTTCCTGGGTGATCATAATCATGCATGGCTGCAGCTACATAAAGAGCCATCAGTTCAAGGGCAGGGATGTTGCCAGCCAGGCATCCATAGCTGTCATCTGTAGGTGTGTATGTCTTCGAAAACACATAACCCATGTGGCCGTGAGTGATTCCACTGTCAGAATCTGAGCAGAAATAAATAAATTAAACCAATAAAAACATCCTCATTGCTTTTTTTCAGTGACCTACTAAAACAGATAGAAGCAACGAAGCCGGGAGAGAAGGAGCAAAATTACAATACATAGCAGCAGAGTGAAAGCACCCTGGCCTCCAGGTTTTCTGACACAGTGTGCATGATCCAGTGCAATAAGGCAAACAACCAGAAAGGAACCGTTTCTGATCCCACCTGGGGATCTTCCAGCCATCCAGCAGAACCTGTTCTCAAACTCTGTAACCTACAATCATTAGGACATGGATTCACAGCCATGCTGGAGCTTTGTGGGTAACTTGATCTTCCCACTTCTTCCTCTAATTTTTTCACCTAGGCTAGTCAATACAAAGTCATCATATAGACTAGTCCAATACAAAGTTCTAGACTTTGAATCTCTGCTGATAATCCTCTTATCAGCCTGTTTTTCAAGCAGCTTGAATACACCTATCAGAGACAGATACTGAGTGAGATGCTTTGCTAATTTAATCTGCTTGAATAGATCTTGCATGCAGTCTAACAATGTCTTTCAAATAACAAACACCAAAAAGCCACAGGACTCAACCCCTGTTATTCCACCTATTTTAGCTCACCTACAAAGATATCAACAATCCTTGCAAATAAATTTTTCCTGGAATAAAAAGGTTTCCCACCCCACCGAAACATCATGAAGAGTTTCACAGATGGTATGTGTGTGCCACACAAACACCAAAACCAACCAAAAAAAGAAACTAACAAACAACAACAACAAAAGAGCAGAAATGGGAGTAGTTTCTGCAGAAAAAACTCTTGCTGTTATAGTAACTCTCTGAGAACTCCCATAAAACACAGACAATTCCAGCAGTTGCTACAGCTGACCTGGAGAAGTTAACATAGAGATGCAAAAAGAACAGTTTCCCATAATAAGCAATCATAAAGCAGCAGAAGATTGGTCTTGCAGGTTGGTTGCCAAATGGTAACAAGTCTTTCTGGAGGCAGTGGGGAAAGGCAAAAAACCACTTCATGACAGCCAAGCAGCAGCAAGTGCACGGCACTACCTGCATGTCCCAGCAATTTTGTAATAGCAAAACAATGCAGGGGTTAAGGATTTAAAATCCTTCTGAAGCAGCATTGAAAAGCACTATTAATACAGTTTGCCTAGAAAACCCCCCCAAATGTTAACAAAGATCTGCTGTTATACGTGACCACAAAGGCTTGCATTCCCACACCATTAAATGTAAATTATTAGGTTTTGGAGGACCAATTCCATTCTCTCCAAAGTTACACAAACATACTTGAACACCTTCAAAATCCATCGTGCTACTGAACTTAAAAGTCTATACAATAACAAGTACTGCAAGCAATCTTCAATTCTTGGCTTTCTCACAGCAAATTTTGTGACAGAAACTTCAAGAATACAACACAGACACTTGCACACATAAATATACCTGAGTCGCTTGCTGACCCGTGGTCATTAATCACAGTTGGGAGCCCCGGGATGGGCTGAGTTGTCAGGTACCACACGGCATGTAGAACATCAGTTGCATGGATTCGGTTGTGATCTGTGATGCAAAGAAAAGGACCGCGCTGTTAAACAGGAAGGATATTTCCGACAGAGGGATATCAGCACCATCTAGTGGGTATCTCGTGCCAGTCAAGAGAGCAGAGGCAAAACAGACTTTTATCAAGAGTATGACAGTTGTTTTGGGTTTTACCTCTTCATAGACAGGAAAAATGGGAAGGTAAATAAATCTTGTATTAGTCAAAATATTCCTCTCTATTAACAACAAAACACATGTAAGGAAAACAATTAAATAAAGGGCTAGATTCGCAAAAATTCCAGACACCAGTTAAATATTTTAAATGAAAAGAAATGGCTCCAGTAGGACAGACAGACAGTCAGATTTCTACCTATAATATCTTCAGGCTATAATCTGCTGCTTCAAGTCCCTGATCTGGTTCAAACACAAGGAAAGATTTGAAATTGGACTCTTGAAAGTCCAAAGCACCTGTCTGGGAGGCATTTCAGGGAGCTTTCCTCAAATCCTTCCCACTGTAGCTGTTCCAATTAGTATTTAATATTTTGACAGAGAGACTATATGACTTCTTAGACTGATGTTTCATATATTTTTCTGTGATCATAGAGAAAACAGCATGTCCTGTGTTCCTCAACACTGGGGTTATCTGCCAGCTAAAAAAGGAAGTAATAACTCCCTCTATTCCCTTGGAAAACAACTGCATTTTCCAGTTGAAGTAGTTTGGTAAATTGGATTTGAATTAGTAAATAATTTGAGGATCACTGAAAGCAGGTTTCTTGGTGAATGAATGGTTCCCACCGAAAAAAGTATCAATATGTAGTTGCAGAAGAACAGGATGCAATCATGTACTTGGTATACTTTGTTTTAGAAAGTTCATCTCCTTTGGTAGCTACTGTGTAAAAGTCCAAGTTGCTTTTGAGGGGTAAGTTTTCCAAGAAACTCCAGTTGGGACACGGGGCTACAATTTGTATCATCAGTAAACAGTTCTTTACCTGATGGCTTTATGTGGTTTCTGGTTTGGAGAGAATTTGCCATGAATTGTTATGAAACAACATGAAACACGAAATACATGAAAAAAACCCCAAACCATGAGAGGCTGCAGTTCAGCACCAGCCTCTTACTAGAGAACCATCCATTTGGTTGTGATGTAGCAGAAGAAAAAAAGTAGGTGCTATAATGAGAGAAGGAAGGCTTCAATACCAAAGTGTGTGGAAAATCCTCAAAACTTTAAGGAAGCATCATTACGTGTTGGGAATTTTTACTTACAAGGTATCTCTCGGTATCCACATTCCAAGGCATGAAAGTAATTCATAAATTCCCTCACTGGTATTTTAAAGGTTTCAAACAGTCCCATGTCTTCAAAAAGCCTGTATGATACCTAAAAAAAAACAACACAAAAGACCCCATGTTGCCAAATAGATCAGAAAACCTCTAAAAATTAGATATAAATCTCCTTCGGTCAAATAACCCCATGAAAACCTGCTTTCCTAGGAGTATTTTCTGAAGTTCACCTGATCCAGCTATAGCTGCAGCTATTTGCATTTCCATAGGAATGTGGCTACACAGCCAGACAGAAAAGCTATTAGTACCAAACAGTCCTCCTCATTCCTTCATTACACCCTTCCAGATGTTCTTCTCTTCCTTTCAGACATATGCCCTCCCTGAAATTTTGCAGGCACCTCAAAAACCTACACACACGATGTTCAGAGGTCTTTAGTGGCCTGGAAAAAATTTCCCCACAAACTTCTCCAAGGAGCATCCTTGACTTAATTCCCAGAAAAGTGAGAAACGAGTGAAGGACTGACAAAAGGGGCAACTATTTGGATTCTATGCATTATCTCCTTTCCTTTGCTCTCATTTTGGAAATGAAATGGAAAAAATGACTTAAACAGGATTCCAGAGGCAGCAAGTGGCTTAGGAAGCAGAGCTTCCTCAAGTCTTCCTGCATGGAAAGATGACTGCAAACATCCAGGAGAGGATATATGGGAAGGGAGAACGGGATGGATCAGTGAGGAGGTGTTCAGGAAAGATGAATGCTCGGAAATGCAGACAGCAGCTGCTGCAAAACGGGCACCTCTGAAGACAAGTTTGAACCTGACATACAAAACAATGGGGCACAGTAAAATCACTGCCTGACCTTTTCACTTCTTTCAGAAATTGGACCCTAAAGCCTTTCAGCTTCTTTATTTATTTACTGCTGTGAGTTGTTCTGTCCTTTTGGTGCCATCTGTCTGGTAATGAACCGCCTAGAGCCAAGCAGTCTGAAGCACATTTGGATTGATGAGTGCTTATACGATAAGAAATGGTTCCAAATTACCTTTTGTGTTTTACACCTGAATGTAAATCAAACATCTACCCACAAATGTTTCTTTCTGTATATTGTGTATATAAATTGGGACCTGTGAGCTGCACCTAAAGTTCAATGAACATAAATTTCAAATGCTCCTCCGCTGTGGATTTTTACAGTAAGAACAGGAAAAAAGGATATGAATTTGCAGCATTAATGATCTTCCCTGTCCCTTTCCTCACAGCCATTCCCTAGCAGGAAAAACCTGCATGTGAACTAACTCTGGCAAAGCATTACAATAGGCAGCGACGATGCAGAGACAGGCTGAGTGTGATGTCTGACCCCATCTATGATGACCCTCTAATGACCAATATCTTGCAGTTGAGGTTCTGCTGGTGGCCTCAGCTCTTATTTCTGTTCCTACCATAATTTACCGTGCTCTGGAAGACATGAGCTTAGAATAAAAGGTAGGGCCTACAGAAGGCAAAACTTTACTCTCTGAAAAACCCCATGGGACCCTCCTGTACTGAGGCAGAGTGAAGAAAGTGACTTTATGTATAATTTGGTTTATAATCTGCATAGAACACTATTTATCTATCTGGAATCATGGCTTAAGTTTTTCACCTACAGAGAGTTGAGGAATCTTACATTCTAGTTTTGTATCAGTGAAATGTAAGCTTCTTATTTCCATCAAAATGTTTTTGTATAAAAAGAGGAAACATAAGGAAATATTATTCTGCATGACCAAACCTTACTGTTCTGTACTAGCAGTACTGGACAGGCATCTCAAATAAAGCATGTCATAAAAGTATGTTTTTCCTCTCCTTGGATTTTGAGAGGTGGGTAATTTCAGAATTGAAAAGAAGCAAAGTTGACTGTAATGGCTATGAATGACAGCTCTTCCACAGCCAAGAAACTCATTTCTACATCTCGGTTGTTTTTCTGTCTTTCTCTCTTAGAAAATGGAGAGAAGTCAGAGGTAAGGGCAAGCCAAAAGGAGGAAAAAAGGGCATTGATGTCTTCCACAAAGTCAACTACCTAACTTGCCTCATTAAAAAGAAAAAAAAAAAAAAGAAAAACTGTGCACCTTTGTTTATTCGTTGTTCTGGATTAAACATTTTAAAATGCTTCTGTCTTTTTAAATCTGTTCTTCCCAACCTGCATCCTCTTTCATGAGCTCCCTGGGAGTTAGAATCCCATGGGCTGAGCACGGTGCCCTTGCAGCCAAGGTGTGGTCCCTGCTCCAGGGACAAGCCCAGGGAAGCTCCAATGGCTGCCAGGTGCTTGGCAGTGGGTGCTCCACAGTGCCCCTTCCCTCCAGCCTCCATTTGCTGCTTGTCTCTGCCACGATTGCTAATGCTTGACTGAATCATTTATAACTCAGATATTTCTGGCAGTGCTGCCTGAAGAAGGACAAGCACTTCTGCATGATTTGTAATGGAAGCTGGTTTGGAAACGGGGCTGGTTATTCACATGTAGCCCATCTCCTGGCTGTTGCAGGCACACAGGAATGGCTCTCCTGTAAAGTTTAGATTAGCAATTCCCTTCTCATTGTCTGCAGGCAAACCTCTTGCACTCCTTTTTTGTCTCCTGTATTTGCTTTCTTCAGATGTGTGCTTCTTTGAAGTGGTTGGCACCCATCTCCAGCTCTGACAAACACAGCTCCTCCCAAGAGCTGCTGTGGTGATCCCAGGAATATCCCATCCCCCAAGGATTGATCTCCCTTGCTCCTTCTGCAGTTTCTCTCTGCAGAAGCCATGTCTGACAGTGAGGTGAGCACACTGGTACCACCCAGGGACCAGCTCCCAGGCCCTGCAGTGATGCCACCCTGCCCCTGACACTGCTCCTGTACTGCCAGCATAGAAGCACCTCCACTTCTCATCTCTATGGGCCCAGCAGTAAAAGCTAAACATTGACTTTAGCCTATTCTTCTTTCATGGTATTTGCTTTCCAAGACAAATAAGTTTACTTTCCACAGGTTTTAGTTTTATAGGAGCTGTGATGAGGGTGTTAAGTGTGACTGAAGTGAGACTGAATGTACGTTCCTCTCCAAACCCTATCACGCACATTTAGAGTGCTTGCCACTGTACTTTGCACAGATGCTTTTGTGGTCACTGACTAGTTTAGGGTATTTTTATATGTCTAAATCAATTTAACATTCCAAAAAGAAGAAACAGACATCTCAAGCAGCTTTAAAGATGCTAAGCCAGCATTTGCTTTCTAAACTGAATGCATCCCTAGAGGCACGTGTCAACTCTGCTTTGTTCCGTCCCATAAATTTAACCTAGCAAGACAAACATAGTTAATTCAGCTTGTTAATTTACTTTTTTTTTTTTTAATGGATGAGTCCATTTAATAGCAAAATACAGAGAATAAATCATTAGACCTTTTGTTTTCCCTTGTTTAAAATATCTCAGGATTTACAAAATACAAAAGGAAAAAAAGTACTTTTGGTTAAAGAAGAAGATTTATTTACTTTTGTTCCCTTATTTCTGAGAGTAATTTCATAAGAAATATCTGAGTAGGTGGGGGAAAGAACTAAAGGATCTATGTTTTATGAACAAGGTTGAACTTGCTACATTCTCCTGTTGGGGAGTGGGAGTTATTATAAACAGCTGTTACTGAAAATGTTGAATTTTGATCACAAATATTATTTATTACAGCTTCTCTTTTATTTTACAGGCCTCATTTTGTGGTACTGTGAAGTGTATAACACCCTCAGAAGCTGTGCAAAAAGATTTTGGGAAGAGAGTGTGAAGCTTTAGAGCAAATTGAGGGAGGCACAGGGGAACTGTCCCCAGAGGCACAGAACTCCATGTAACTTGATAAAGTGCTTAAAATCTTTAGAGATACCCATGCAAAACCAGAACAAATTTTGGATCACCCAAACTGTTGGTTAGTCATGCCTTTAAAAGAAAGTTCTGGCCTTGTGTTTAATTTATCATTCTATTATTATTCTACGCTATCAGAAAAAAAACCTGACCAATATGATCCAGAAGAGTATTTTAATCACACACTCACTGTCTAGTGCAAAAGTGCCTCAATAACCATCACTGAATTTATATCAATACCCACATCCAGCCACACTTTGCCTATTTCTCTAAAATTAACCTAGAGACTTGGCAGGCTGGTCAAGCACAGATGTTGTTTGCCAAGCTACAGAACACTAAAAGGCAGACAACAGAATATATTTGAATTCATGCCATGGTTTTCCTTGTTGACCACTGGATAACTGAATAGAGCTGAATAATAGGTAACCACCAAGGGACTGTGATTTGATACAGCACTCTCTGGTGCTTGTTACACTGAGATCTGCCTGACACACTAACCTCTGTGTTTGTGGGGGGTGTTAATTGTCCCTTATTGTACTAATTAACTTTATCTCTTCTCTCCAGCACTCATCACTACATAATGCCTTGTAAAGTGGTACTAGTTCACTCAGATTCTCTTGGGCTTGTTTTCCTTCCATCCCTAAATAATAATAAAAATTATTTGCCTTTCCTGTTTAATAATCTTCAATACTTCCATAAGAAAAAATGGCCAATTTGTCAGTGTGCCAGGAAAAGGGGCATAACAGAGTAGAAAGTTCAGCCAGGAAAGTGATTATGGAAGTGACACTAATCCTGCTGGGTAGAGACAGGCTGTGTCAGTAACTGGATTCAACTCCCAGAAAGGAATAAAACCCTGATAGTTCTGATAACTGAAAGAAAGACTAGCAAGTTCTCCCATTCTGAGTCATAGCACATTAGTCTTCCCTATGTAATAATGATATGAATTTTCTATCAAAGTTCTAACTCTATAAAAATGAAGGAATATAGCAAGGACTATTTTTCCTCCCATTTCCTCCAACTCTGCTCTCTTGCACAGCCTGACTGAAATCTGTATAAAAGAGGAACAAAGCTCTGTATATCCTGCACCAGTTTGCATATATTTACTGTTCAGTCCTCCCATGCTGTACCCTATGAGAAATCCTTTCACATAGAACTCAGTAAGGGGTGGCAGCACCTTCTGCAGATAGAAGAGAATATTCAGAAATGTTTATGTAAACTCACTGGCAGAGGGCAGCAGGCAAAACAGGTGTGTGGTTTACCCTTTCACATTTTTAAATTAAAAAACACAGACATTTAAAAGTAAGGAATGTAGTGAGATGGAGTTCATATTGTCAGCTTTGAATTAGGTGACAGGGATCATGATTGGATGACCAACTTGTTAGGACAACGGGTCTTAACACTTTTGTGTCTAAATCTGTCAATATTCTAAGCCAGACACTGCAGACAAGATACACTTCTCACCTGACTGAGAATCCGACCACATTTCTTTCCAATTTTTTCCACCAAATCAAAGATTGGGAAGTTCCAACTATTTAGCTGCTCCATCAGGGGATCCAGGTTGTCCATAACCAGAGGCTCAGGAGCAAGTACAGGCTTGTCCTGTGCCAGAAATCAGAATAAAGGGGAGTGTTAGTTCAGTGAAGCATCTCATGCAAAACATTATGCTCTTATCCCATTAGCGTCATCTGTAAGTCGATGGTACTTTACTCAGCTCAGCGGAGATGTCCTCATTTCTACCAGCCCTGCAGCAAGTCACTCTCCTTTATTATGTGTTTCACTTGAATGAATAGGAAATTCTGTATATGAACCATCAGTGTCTGAACTTATCCATGAGACACATTCATTCATTCACTCATGGGAATCATTCATTCATTTCCAAGGGAATCTGTCTTCATTGTAAAATTTGCTGCAGTGCAGAGGGAAAAGCTCTCGGTTTCTACTTCTCCATCAGGACTCATTCATTACAATCCCACAAGGCTAATGGAGCTCAGTCCAAGTGAAGACCTTTGTTTCTTAAACTGAAACCTACCTGGTTTCCAAGGTCTGCAAAAAAAAAAAAGATGGATTGTGCCCCACCTTTCAAATTTCTCCCTGTATACTTCCTAGAATCACATTTTACTAAGAAACTGCAGATGAGTAAATGCCAAAACATTTCAAGCTAAATGCCTTCTCTCAGCATGTCCAACTCCAACAGATTACAGTAAATTTTTCAAGAGCTCATGCCAACTTCAATTTATTAATTCAGTTGTACAACGAACTGTGGAAAATGTAACTAAACAAAGCTTTTCCTCTGCATCTCAACCAAGCTTACAGCTCAACACAGCAGCTGTATCAGCACTTGTTCACCATACTGCAATGTTCTTATGTGTAAGGCATGTACCAATAATAATATCTTGCAGCACCCTCAGAGCAGTGTTCATTTATTTTAAAATAAGGACCACAGTATCTATTATTAGTGAAGACTGCAAGCCCATTGAGAAGCTGAAGTGGCTGAACGGGAACACTATTTATCATGCTGCTAGTCAGAGAAGATCATTTCTCTTCCTTCCAACCCATTCCCTTTAAAGGAAACTAACACAGAGGTCAAACATTTCAGAAATGCCTAATGCTAGATCCACAAACTTTTATCCATCAAAATAGATGGTTAGTGTTTCATCAGCGGCCAGTGCTTAGCGGCCCTCACACATTTCAATGGTTCCTTTCCATTCTTGAAAGTTAATCCTCCTGCTGTAATTGTTGCTTAAAACCATGATCACACTCTTTAGACAGCCTTAGGGTTTGTGTTTTTTTTTTGGGGGGGGGGGGGGGGGTGTTTTTTTTTTGGGGGGGGGTGGGGTGGGTGGGTTTTTGACAGCTTTCAGTTTCGGTTTGGCCTTTTTCCCACTCTGCATCAGCGTACACTCAGTCTATTGTGCGAGTGGGACTCAGACAAGCTACCTCAGGTGGTGTCAAGGGATGCAGGATGATGGTCTCAGGTGTGTAGGACCTACAGACAGATCCCTTCCGTGTCTGCTCCTTGGAGCAATCTGTCTCGTCATCGTTCTGCACGATGTCGCTGCTGTCGCTGTTGTTGGTCTCGTAGTCAGAAGTGGCTTGGGCAGGATCATCTGCAACACAAACCACAGAGCTCGGTGTGCGAGCGGCAAGAACTCCACGAAAGGCACCCCATGACCTTCCAAATAACAGCAACAGGATCTCTGACTCATAATACATATGTGCTGCTTGGCTGGGGCTGAAGCTGCACAATCTGTCCAAAGGCATATACCCTGCAGAGTGTAAAAAACGGGACCAGGGATTGAAGAGTAAAAATATTTTGAGGGTCATTAATTATGTTGATTAAGTTAAATGAGGGAAACCATATTTCTTTTATATTTTAACTCCATTTTTCATTACCATTTTGTACATGTTATACATACAAAAAGGCAAGAAGCCTCAAAGCCTCACCTACATATATTCTCCCTCTATGACAGACAAGCATGTCTGTTCTTTCATTACTGGATTTGAAGGAACAAGGTGTTTTTGACAGACAAAGAATTACCTGTTCTGTTCAGGGTGTGTGTGGTAGCATCATTTCTATTTAGTGTCCCATCACCAGCTTCTATTTGGTTATAGGGTCTGCCACAGCTGAAATACATCAAGAAATATGCACAGTATAGAGAACCACGTACATCAGACAGTATTATGTAAAATTATTTCCTGCTGACAGTGTAAGATTATGTCATACAATATAAGCCATGGTCCAGGGTGCATTCTCCAGACAAAACTACAAGAGAGAGCTGAAATTTTATTGGAACTCAGGAAAATAAAAGGAGAAAAATAAAAAAAGACCTTGAATTAACTGGCCACCACCATTAAATCTGTGTTGCCAAGAGTAAGCCCGTAATATGTGATTTTCATTTTAAATGAATTTTTTACTCTCTGAATTAATCAGTAAAAAAAGAAAATAAAATTATCCCCTGGTTCTGTACTCCAGCTGCCCTATAAAAGTGACAACATACCAAGTACATAAGAACCAAGGAGGCATTTTGGACAGAACTGTGAATTCAATACCAGCTGGAACATTTCAAATTATAATGTCCCAATATGACTGAGTCTAGGACCTGAAGAAACAGTGGTGTATCACGAAAAAATGAGAGACCATAACAAATCTGAAATCTCATTTAGCAGTATTATATCAAATCTGTCCCCAAAAGACTGGCACTTTAACATTTCTTTCTCTGGTTTGAGTCAGTATTTTGAGGCATATCTCACATATAACAACCTTTGAAAAGCAACTATTACAAAATTATTTTCATTGGTCAAACTTTGTACTAGAAACTTTGTACCATTTTAAGTTCAACATGTAAAAATGGCTGAAATCCTATGCCAGAGGGCTTTTGACTGGGTCATCCAGAACACATCCTGGAACTTGATACGCCCTGCAAACACAATGAATCCCTGAAAGACTTTTAAATAAAAATGCAAATCTGTCTTCAATGATACCTGTACTGCATAGCCAAGCAAATAAATCATGTATCACTCAGGTTGCTAAACAAGATGAAAAGAAGTATTAATTTCTCTGTCCTGCGTTCCTTGTGATTTCCATAAGATCAAAGATAGAGAGCCTTTGATTGGGTGTAATGCCACAAGGCTTTTGCATCACTATGAGTGCACCTCTTTATTTCCTGAACATATGCAAACTCACACTGATTTAATAAGTAGGGTCCACAAAGCACTGTACTGAAATAAAAAAAAAAAATGACTGAGTTACCCAGCAGCACACTTGAAATCTACTCTGTGTTGGAACTAAATGTGCTCACGCAACTTTAACTCAATCCCTTCATGCACAGGCATTATAATACCCTCCTTGACTTCAGGATTGTTTAATATTTTTTGCACAGGATTCCTGCCTCATCCACTAAGCAGAATTAATACATGATTACTTATGAGTTATTTTACTGGCAATGCCTGGTGTATGTTCTTGTTTACTGTGGTCTTCAAACTGCGCTGTCCTACCACATTTCACCTTGTTAGTGAAAAAGAAATACAGCAAAACTGCCATCTTGATGTCACTGCCTGGGTGGATCTGACTTAAAACACTGAACCCATCAAGAGTTGACTTCCTCTTTTGTTGTAGGGGGTGGGATTGGTTTGCTGGTGGTAGAAGTTTGCTGACTTGGCACTGCTCCCCAGCAAGGCAGGGGTTTTGGCAGTAAACACAGCACATTGTACACCATGAAGACTAGCAACCTGCTATGCAAAAGCTCAGACATTAAAAATTTACTTAAAGTGTGTTAGTTTAACTCTCACAACTTGTTAACCCTTTAATTTCTTTGGTATTTGAGATTTTTTGTTTTGATTTTGCTTTTTAATTGTGTCTACATTACTAATGGCTGCATTATTTGTATGCTGTTAATTCAGCTTGTTATCTGTGGATTTGACACCTCTATATACTAATGGCTAGAAATGTGACAGTGCTTGTAATTTTTCAACAGGGACTTAAAGACTATTAGCACCAGTAGGTGCCAATTCTATTAGCAAATGACATCATAATATTTTAAATAATATGGGGTTTTTCAAATAATCAACAACAAAGTCTGTGTCAGCAATGTAACTATTTGCAATGCTTACAGTCTAAGCTTTTGAAAACAAGCAAACTGAAAACCCAGATATGCTATATAACCTACATAGATCCAATAAGACAGCATCCACATTAAAGTTAACGAGCATTTTACCAGTGATTACAATGAAATCAAAGTTTGGACATATGAAGAAAATATATTTCATCACTATCTACAACAACCTTACATATATTTTTTGGACATTTTTATTGCAACTGTTAACCGTTCTCTTTAATAGAAGGCTTCCAGACATAATTATTACTTGTGAAAGTAATAATATTTTGTTGAAGTAGTAATAAGGACACAGCTTAATAAGACAGTAGTACCTCTTTGTTATATTCTGTTGTGTAATACAGTTTTCATTTCAAATGAATCAGTCCAAGTCCCAGTTTTGATATAACTTTAGAAAACTTTTAAAAGCACTTAAGTTTCTATTTAGTTACCTAACCCCATCTTAAAAGCCTGTTGGGATTCCAGTCTGAACTGCAGTGAGGATGACTCCCTTGAGCAAACTTGCAGTCTCAGTTTTGACTTTCTCACACCCCCTTCCTTGCCCTGCACGCAGTGTCCTGAGACACATCCACAGCCAAGTGACTGGAGTCAGAAAGGAAAAACCATTTCCAAAGATAGTCAAACTTGACAGCATTTAACCCAGCCTCAGATGATGTGCTGTCCACCAGCTGGCCACTAATCACAAATCACTCACTGCTACGACCAGAAGTAACATCTAGTGAGTAAGATAACCCTGAAACTGCACTGGAACACGTTCAGGAATACCAGTGTTTCCCACTGTTCTGGACAAATATTGCAAACTCCACTAATACAATTTAGCAACTGAATCCTTTCTGAGAAGATAAGCAGAACAACTTTCTTTCCAAAATGCTGATTTTGCAAAGCAGGATCAGCCTGTGTTATCTAATAAAGGGTTACTTTAAAGTGCGAAATTAAACTGTGTAACTCTAACTCTTAGTACTTGAAAGGATTTATCTGCAGTTGATTTCTGAAAAAAAATCCTGACTTTACATAATCTGACTCTGCCTAGGGAACACAGGATCAACTCCTCCTCAGAGAATGCTCAAAATTGTGTAGCCTTCAGGAATTGTTGGCACATCTTTACCAGAATCCTACAGGCCAGGATCTTCTAAACCCTTGCAGTCAGATTTTTCTATCAAACATCAGGTGCCTGCTGTGGAAGACTTGGCCTGTGACCTGAAGGTGACTATTCATATTAGGGGGCATGGCATAAAAAACACAGGTTGTTAACATGAAATCCAACTTTGGGATCTGCAAATCACTGGCAAAGAATTTATTTATGAATCACACTGTCCATCTGACATCAGTAAAAGCAATAAATGTAGTTAAGACTCTTCCACTTTAAAAGCATTTTGTAGCATCAGTCTACACAGTAAGCCAAATACTACAAACTTGAAATGTCAATACAAAATACTGCAGTAAATCACAAAATCTTGTATGTGGGCCAAAAGAGCATGTTCTTGAGAACAATGTGAAAGTAATCCTACTCATGTCAAATTACAATCTTACCTGCTGCAGATGACAGAGGGGCTGATAACAGGATCTGACAGTGGAGGTGCACTCTGAGAAGAAGTTAAGACTTTGTGTGGCTTTAAGCCCTGCTTGGTGTCAGTATCTGTAGAGTCTGGAAATGACACAGAAGATGTTTTTCCAGTAGGACTCGTGGCAGGGGTCCCCTGAATTGGTGAATGGCACGGGGAGGTGAGAGGTGAAATATTTGGTGGGATACCTGGCAAGAGAAAAGCAGAGTCTTGTCAATTAACAGAAGTGGCAAATGGTTGCATTAGTTCACTGTGCAGAAACACTCCTCTTGAGATGCACAAGTACCAGCACAGCTTTCAAACAGAAAAATAAGAGAATACCCTGCTCCACTCTGAGCCAAGCCCAGGGCTGTCAGAGGGAGATGAAATTCCATTAGTATCAGCCACTTCTACCTGCTGAAGATCTGGCTCAAAATACAAAGCATATTTTCCCTAGAGCAGGATGCACTAACTGGCAGGCATGAAATGAAAAGCATGTGTTAGTGGTGTGACTATCGGTATCAACATGTTCTACTGACAGAGACACCAAACTCCAAAGTTCCCAGACCCATCTGCAGATGCCAGATCCATCTTTGTTTTGCTGTCTCCATCTGTAAAGCCAGGACAAGAACAGTTTACATACATTCCCAGAAAATTTGGATTTTTACATCTTTGAAGACAAGGAATAAACCAAAAAACCAATTTTTAGTGATTGTCCATCATATAAAATACTGCACTTCTGGTGCCATTTCTGCATTCCTCACAGATTTTGGCCTTGACCTTGTGCAGCTTGAGTTTAGTTTTCAATATCTGTTGCGCACTTGCAACCATTACCTGTACCAGGTGGTATTGTTACTCCTGAGCTAGAGTATCAGGAACTGCCAATATCCACGTGTGAGCACTACTGAGATGTAGTTCTCTCTGACCTTTATTCTGTCTAAGCACCACTGCAAAGATGAAATGCATCAGCTGGTCCAGAGCTTGAAACAAAGTGCCACCTTCTTTTTGAATCCACTTTACATTTGTCTAGTCTCAGACAAAATTCCAATCAAAGCATAGAGGGGCAAACTTAATCTATCTTGAAAGGAAATGCACATAAATTGAGTTACCTCCTGTTCTAAAGTTTGTAGGAACTCAGCCCCAGTTAATTTACCACATTTATCTTCAAAGCCAAATGATAGAAAGACCTTAGGAACTTGAACTGGTTTTATGTTTGAATTGTGCCCACTATCTAAATGTATTCCAGACACAAAATTTATCTTAGAATAAGGCAACATGTTGCCTTATTCTGAGTTTACAAAATACTAACCTTGTAGGATATATGTATATAGTTCCAGTGTTTTTCTGATAGCAACTTTCTGTGATATGAGGCTAAAATATGATTTATTTTTGACAATCCAAGAGTTAAAAAAAAATTCTGACAGTTATGGAGCTGTAATTTGGTGATATCTAACATCTCCTCAGTTTTGATTAGGGTATTTCTTCAGCAAACATGTGGCATGTATTACTCTCTTAATTCAGTGACTGAAAGTAGGATATTACGCTTGTCTTGAGATCAGAAAACTACAGCCTTCAGAGCAATTAAAATGTTATCAGATGGCCATGACACAGGGAAATTGCTTTCCAATACAGAAAACCTCTGTTTCACATTTACGAATTCATTGAGATATCGGCTTTCCATCCAAAAAAAATATGTCTTTAAAAACATTTGGCAGTCTGTTAGATGTGCAGAAGATTGAGTTGGATTATTATCTATTTTTGAGCTACATGTTATCAGGTAATATTCATAACCCTTAGAGGATATGATTTGGAAGATACAATACATATGGTCATCTTTCAATGGTTAAAACAAGTCCTGGGAATTTAAACAGCAGTTCTCACAATAATGTTTCTAATCACACTTGCTTTTCTACTGCCAGTCTGGGCTCCTGTCTCCTGACATATTTTTTGTTGTGTGTGTTTTGGTTTTTTGTTTGTTTGTTTGTTTGTTTGTTTAAAGAGTAATTTTCCAGGGTAGGTGACCACAAATAAATAAATAAATAAATAAATAAATTTGCAAGAAAAATGCAAACCTATTTTCAATAATCAAACATTTAACCATTACTGGCAAACGTGAGAGTAAATGTGTCTTGCTACAGCAAGGAATTTTGAACAGTCAAGATAAGAGAAGAATAAAAATACAAAGAGAATTTTTTAAGTACATCCATCTGCTTAGGTACTCCTGAACTTCTTCATATGTGCAGTGCTGAAGATATAAAACAGTGACTTCAATGTGATGTGAAATGACATATGAAAACACTTGATTTTTTTTGCGAAAATAGATATAACTAGCAGCTGTTTTCATGCACAATTAAAGACACATTTTATAAATTAACAGATTTACAGATTTAGCTAGATCAACTTCTACTAATAATTATTGTATCTTGCCAATGGAGCTAATATATAAAAGTCTAAATAGTATTAACTATGGCAAATGGAAATAATTATTGAGTTGGAACATGAAAACAAATCATAACTAAACTGCATGATTATAAACAGCCTAAAACATTGAAATATCAATCTTCTACACAAAATGCTGACACAAAACTTTTATTCCTCTCCATCAATACCCCTAGGAATTGCTTGAGACGGAATGGAGATCCCCCTTCATCATGTGGGAGCTCACGTACTTGGGCAACAGAGATGAATATTAACATTTTCTGAAAGCAGAATTTACTATATGTACAACTGACTGATGGGGTTGGTAAGTGTTGTTTTCAAATACAAAATATTATACACCCCACCCCTTTCCCTTTTAATTTGTTGGGTAATCTCTGAAAATTACAAGTCTAAGTGTAATATTTGTTTTGTTTTACAACAAACTCCTGGATTCTTGGTACTGTATCTCCATTATTTTCCAGGTTTAATTTTATTCAATTGCCTATGTGCCTATTACCTTTTAAGATAATACTGTGTTACTTAGTCTTCCCTGTGATAACACAAAGCAGCTGCTGTACAAGAGGAGATGTTGTACAGTTCTCTTCAGTTTGAAAAGGAGATGAGATGCGACAGTGCTAGGTATGCAAAATAATTGTGCAGCTGTATCTTCAAACCCATCTCTAAGCTGGGATTCTCTGACTTTTTCAATGTCAGACCTCAGGTGTGTATCAATTTCCACCTGATAGCTGGGTGGCCAGTATCTCTGAGTAACATTATCTCAACATTATTCCATGTTTGGAAAAAACCCAGGCTGGTATAAAAAAGGGAGGCCTTGTGATAATTTTGAATTACGAGTTAAAGCATGAGTAAACATTATATTATCCTGCATTTGTACAGGGAGGAGAACCACATTACTGTGGATTAAGGCTGCTTCATGGTTGTCATATCAAACATTTAATTATGAATTCCAAAGTCACCTTCTCAATTTCTTTCCCTAGTTAAAACAGGAGTAATGGGGTTTTTTTAGAGTCTCAAAAAGCAGAGTGAAAAGCCCCATATTTCTCATCTCTAAATATCAATAAGAACTACCTGTACTTTCTCATAAATAAATATACAGAGATAGACAGAGTTACAAAGGTTTTGTCTTGGATATGTTTGCACAAGATGGGTCAGTTGCTGCTTACAGCTGAAAATGGCATTATGCATGTTGTGCTTCAGGAAATCTCAGTCAGACAATATGCACAGACAGTTAATGTCATAAATGTTACAGAAAACACTCTGTTCTCAGCCCTGTTGTAGTCAAGGGAATTACATGGATATAAATCACAACACACGACACAGTTTTGTATCACACTTCTGCATCATGTCATGACTAACCTCTACAAATCAAAAAGTCAAAACATTTACAATGGCATCACTGTGAGCTACAGTATTTTAAGACACTGTTGATTTTTCCTAAATGCAGGAAATAACCATATTATATTGATGGAAAAATAAGAAAAGAAGCAGATTGGACAGAGAACAAAAGCAGCTGCACTTGCTAGTCATGGGGAGCAGCTAAGTGAGCCTGACAGAGCCATGGATGCCCACTCACCTTGCCGGCTCTGCCTTTTGGCATTCAGGTGGTTGGTAGAAGACATGGCATAGGAGGTGGAGAACGACCTGCTCTTTGTGATTGTCATCAGAATTGAGCTGTTCCAGGAGTCAGGGCTGCAAAACCAGAGCACAAACAAGCACCATTCAACACAGGAAAAAGCCTCAATGGCAGATCTTAAGAAGTTAGGAGCTGCAGCAAGAAATATGTGATACTGGGATAGCACAAAATCTGATATGGAAAACAACATCTATGGGCTGGCTGAACTGCAGTTTGTGAGGTGCTCAGTACTGTGTTCAGCAAAAATATTTACAATGCAAACACTCCAAAAGCTGGGCTTCCTTTGCTGCTGAGGCCTCTTTACTTTATTTATACAGATGCCTTCTTTATATTGTTCTGACAGTACACAGAGGCTCACAAGTTGACTTGAAATAAGTTAAATTTATATTCTCTTTTAACACCTCCTTAAAAGAGCCAGAAATGACACAAGTTCTCAGTCCAACTAAAAGCCCAGCCTCCTCTGCTGCTGGTGCCACAGCAGATACCCACCAGCCCTTAGGGCACTGGAGTTGCTCCTCAGGAGACTGGGGAGGTTCAGAAGCATTTTTCCCTGCATGGCCATGGCTCCTGGTGTGCCCCTTCACACTCTAGCCAGCTGCATCCCCAAACAAATCCTACTGACAGACCCTGAAGACATTGGTCCAAGAGAAACATACTGAGGGAAAATAGGGGGCATTTGTCTCTGGGTGTGGAACAAATGCTTGTCCCCTACAACAGCATGGGCCAACGCTTTCAGCCTCCAGGCTAGAACTCTACCAGAATTCTTCTGTACAGTGAGAAAACTGTATTTATGATTGTTTTCCCAAATGCCACTCATCAAATTTCAGCTGCTTGCAGGGATGCAGCACTGGCTCCTATAGAGCAAGGCCTGTGAGCCCTCTGGACAGATCCACCAGGCATCTCAGGCTCCACGTCCCCCCTCACAGCCTCACATGCAAGTGATGAGGTGACACGCAAGCCAGAAGACAGCCTTTTAAAGTAGCCTAGCTCCAGCTGACCTTGAAAAAAACTTGAAAGAAAAAATAAGCACTCTGAAAGAAAAAAGCCACATAACACTGTGTTACACCTCTACAAACATATTGTTTTGTAACAGACGTACTACCTACAAAAGTAATTGCTGGCTGTCTTCATTGGCCCAAATGCCTATAATCTGTGATGAAATGAGACAAAGAAAGATTCTAGATGGTTTTTTAAAAATTTTCTTTGTTTGGTTTGTTTTATGGTTTTATTTTGTTTTTTAGTTAACACAAAGAATATCACACACTGGTCCACTGTAAAGTTCAAGAAAAACCCCAACAAAACAAACCAAAAATCCCTTAACCACATTCTTTGACTCCCTAAGGGAGAACCACTGGATACAGAAGTGACTGAGGGAGAGAACGTGTAAGTTCTATTATTTTTCCTGTAGCATTACAAGCCATAAGAGGACCATGTCTTACCAGTTATTGACATAGGGTTTGAAAAATACAAGATCACTAATCTCAAACAGAGATTTAAGGGGGGGTTTTGCAAATTTGTGACTATAGAAATCTAGAGATGATGTTCCAGGTTGTGAGGAACAAGTTGAAGATTTTGTAACTGTGACATCTGCCACAGGGAAATCCCAGTGTCAGCCTCTCTCCTACCCCTTCAACCTATGAAATATTTCTTTTTCTGTGACCTGTGGAGTGCCTGAATTTGGTTTGGTACAGGGGAAGTGGCAGATAATCAAGACTTTTTTTCTCTTCAGTTCAAAATTGAAAGAAAATCTCTCTTGGTCTGCCAAAACTTTTAAAGCTAGACTTATAGGATCCATTTTTTCCCTTTCTGGAATACACATTGTTTCTCCTACTGTAAGAGAAGTACTACAAACAGTAGGCTGGGAGGCTTGACAGAGCTATAATTATACAATTGGCGACATTAAACATAGGAAGAATTGATAGCCTGCTTAGTTGGCTCATCGTGCAGAGTTATATAACAACTGCAGGAAAGGACCAACAATAATATTTAATTGCTCTCCTTCTTCCTCTGATTCCCTTCTTGGGGATGCTTACATACTACGTGAGACTGGGATCAACAGCATAAATCAAATAGACCCTGGGAACCACAGGTCGGTGAGTGAAGAGCGTTTCCATTTGGTTCTAGCTTTTACTGAGATACCTGGGACTCCTCACAAAGGGAATTTTGGCCAGCCACGTATTTTTCTTGCAGTGCACTTTGCAGGCTGCCTTGAGCACCTCGATGCCCTGCATGAGAGTCTCCTCTGTGGGAATGGTTTATGCATCTGGAGGAAAGGCTGACCCTGGAAGAATGCAGCTCTCCAGGGCTGTGTTCACCCAAGCTATTTAGCAGCCAACACTGGTGTTCTCAGGCCCTCTCAAGTCCCATGTTTTTCTCCGCTACCGGTACCAAATTTTGAATTTCAGAAAAGCATGTGAGTCTTCTGATAACATGACTCTAAATTCTCTTCTTGAATTTAGTGCTTTGGTTCTGATCTTTCTTTCCCCAGAGCAAAGCACGTCTCCACATTCTCTCCTCCATCTCCAAGATGATAACCCTTGCTGAGGTTGGGGAGGGGACCTGAACTTTATTCTCTCAGGGTAGCACCACAACTGACTGCCCTCCCCCCTACTTTTGAAGGCTCTGCTCCTCTCTGACTACAGCAGAAGAATATTCATGGAGCCAGAAAGGAGGAAATCCTCTTGAAATAGCTACACAACATGATCACAGTTAACAGTGCCTGGGAGCCAAGCCTTTCTTGTCACAGACAAGAGCTCTTTGCACAAGACTGACATCCATTCTTCCTTCACTGTCTGCTACTGGATTACCTGCCACAGACCCTGTGGAGGGTTAAAAGCAGCTCAACTCAGGCTTTATGGTAGCATGGAAATCCCAAAATGTGAGGTACATAGGACTGAAAGCCCTCAGACCTCTGCAAATGCCCTAAACAAGTCATCTGCTGGCTGCAAGCAGCTGAGCAGACACAACTTCTCTTTCTCCATTCCATGAGAAGACCACGTATTTTATGATACTGGCTCAGGGATCAGGCCCTGAGAAGAATGGAGGATGGAGAAGTGCTTTATGAACTGGTTTAATGACAGAACCACATCACTAGGTGTGTTCTTAGGAATGGCTGGGTCACTTGTTAAAATTTTTTCTTGGCTGGGCAATACCCACGCAGGAAACTGCTGCATATCAAGAAGAATTCAACCAGATATTTTGCCTTTCTTCCAATCTTATTTTGCACTTCTGAACTTTGTTAGCATAAATAGATTTTTTTTAAAATCTATTTTACTTCCCAATAATACGAATAATTTTGGCACAATCTGACTAAACTTGGGAATGCTGCTTCTTTGGCAACCCAACTTAAAGAAACATGAAGCAGTAGTTTTAACACACTTCAAAGCCAGCGTTTTTGAACGAGGGACATCATCACACAGAACCAAAGAAATCTGCCCAAACAGAAACATAGAAGAGAGAGGAGGTAATTTGTAACCTGGATGAAGATGATTCATGGGGTTTGATGCTGGCACTGCGATCCCTTCTCACCGGAGCTGGCTCCAGGGTAGGTAATCCTGTGGCTGATGTTGTTGTGGTCCAAGTTGAGGACACTCGTCTCAGCAGTCCTGGGGGCAAACTTCTCCGTAAGCGCTGAGGAGAGATCAGTTGCTGAGAGTTTATATCAGCTTACAAACCCTTCAAAGGTGCAGAAGAAAAACCGCTTCCATTTGATTAATTCTGCCTGACAACAACTAGGGAGGTACTGTAAATCTGGATTCTCCCAGGTATTGGGGTGCCTTCTTTCTACTCAAAATAACACAGGCAGTGTTTTAAATGCTTGCAGGGTCTGGACCGTCCTCCCTGTTTCAAGTTTTAAAAAAGGTCTACACCCATAGCCCCATAACCACAGAGGTTTAACATTTGATGTGGCCAAAGGCAATTAAACAAATTAGCAGGGCCACAAAAGTGATTGGAGCATCTGGCATAAAAGGAAAGCCTAAGAGAGCTGGAATTCCTCAGTTGGAAGAAGGGGCAGTTCAGAGTGGATCTGACTAATGTATACAGATACCTGAAGGGAGGGTGTAAAGAAGATGGAGTCAGGCTCTTTCCAGTGGTGTTCAGTGATAAGAGGCAATGGAGCAAAAATTGAAATACAAGAAATTTCATTTGAAGGTAGGAAAATATTTTTTACTGTGAGGATGACTGAATATTGAAAGAGGTTGCCCAAAGAGACTGTGAAGTTTAAATTCATGGAGATACTCAAAAACCAACTGGACATCCTCCTGAGCAGCCTGATCTAGGTTGAGCCTAGAAAAACCCTGTGCATGAGGGACTGGGTATAGATGATCCCCGGACTGGACTAGACAATCTCCAGGTGCATTTCCAACCTCAACTATTCTATGATTTAAACTGTCATGAATTCTGAGAATCAGAGATTCAAGGCAAGAAAGGCTGTAAGAAAAATAAGGGACAGGAGTTCCAACTTTTTTCCTGCTATATCTCCCCAATCCAAAGGTCACTCACTGAAATAAAACTCATTCTCTGGCATATGATGTCTCTTGATAAGCATAGAAAAAGCATCATTATTTACAGCAGATTTTTTTTGACCACCCTGCATTTTTATTTCACCTGATTCTTCCTTTTCTCCACTAACAGGACTCACATATTTTTTGTTAATTTTTGAAGACAGTGATAATAAGGGATAATGATAAAGAGTCTTTTTGGATCCAGATTTGCTGTTACAGATGCTATAATTTTGTAAGATGTTTCTCTTGTAGTTCTCATGAAATGTTTATAATTAAGAACTAAAATAAATATATCTCTGCAATGGAGATCTTGGACTTTGCCAGGGGGTTAAGAAATATGAGATGGAAGAGAACTGTGGTTCTGAAGCTCAAACTTAAAGATAAATATGTTAACATACTATCTCCTTACCCAAAATAGTATCAGATGCTTAAGGTAAAGACCCTAAATCTATATTTATACAGGTAAATAAAGGACTGCAAATAATTAGTTTTATGAACCATAATACATTTAGGTCAGTGAACTCCAGTCAAATTAGTTCTCTGTAGCATTAGCTCATTTCTTCATCATTCATTTGTCTTCTCCTCATAAGGTATTACACAACAGCAAACTGGTATCTGCTCCCTGTGTTTGCTCATGTGATGGCAGTGTTCTTCCACTTAACTTTTCCCCTCAGAGCCCAGAGTGCAGCCATGATAGACATGTTCACCAAAATAAATTGGAAAATGTGGTTAAAAACCCGTGAACCTCCATTTCATACATACAGCTGCTACATAGGCAAATAGGGTAATAATTATCACCACACTAAAATGTAATAAAACCAAGAATCACAAGTGTTGAAATTTGGATACCGGGAAATGCCGGAATGAATGCTGGCTGTGCCATTTAAACTGTAAAAACATAAAAGCATTTGCCTGTGCAACGTACTCTGCCTGTATTTAATTTTAGAAGGGAGACTGCAATACAAAAGCATTTTGGTTTTGTTTCAAAAGTGAAATGTAAGCCTTGCAGGACAGCTAAATAGCAACAAACATACAACTCAAACTACTTCAAAGCTGATATGTTCTCTCTAGCTGTTCACTTGCTAAAAGTGGGTAGCTAACACTGGTTATTTCTTGTCAGATTCCTGAGCATTTATAAAGCCATCTGTCAAAGCAGTAATAGATTTTTTTGGTTCAGTCTTCTTTTTCTTCTCAAGACCACTTCTCATGAGCTCACAGTAGTTGTCATACTAATGACTGTGATAATCTGTTTGTTTGTTTGTTTGGTATGCAACATTTTAAACTTGATCCAAAGACCTGGAGGTCACCAATAGGGAGTTTTTCATTGACTACTATAGGTTTCACACTTCTGGCTAAGGGAAGGAAGAAGAGACTGAAATTCATACAGAATTTCAAATTCCAACCTTTAAAGTGAGTAAAAAGGTCCCTCATATTACTGCTTATTTCCCCAATGCTCGTTGTCGACAATAGTCACCCCTCATGCAGCAGCTCAAATCTTTTGAGTGGGAGGAGAGTTTCTGTGTAAGAAGTGATGGGGCAGACCTGTGAGTCTGTATGATAAAAGGCTTCTGCTTGCTCTTCTCCCTGTCATTTCTTCTCCCAAGCTCCAACCAACAGCTGCAAGAAAATATGCACACCATCTGTGTGATCTATTCTGTGTCGAACACCATCTTCTAAACATGCCTGAACCAAAGTAAACCTGGCTGTGAGTTGAGGGATACACAGGAATTGTGTTACTATGAAACCAACGATAGACTAGCTGTCCTTTTCCAGTAGGCTGTCATTGGTGCACAGGATGTTAATCTGAAGCAAACAAGTAAAAATCCCAGTGATGTACCTTTAGGGAGAGCCAAGTAACAAGATGATACACAGGCTCCAGTGCTCACCTTGGGAATGGCCAGTTTCTCTCCTTTCTCCGGACATTCCTCTGAGTCGGAGCAGGTGTAGTTCTCACTGAAGGACACCAAAGGATTCACCCTTGGTTTGTGGATGGCCTGGAAGGTTAACTGAGTGTTAAGCAGGTTGCTCACTGTTCTCAGCGATGTGCACACGTTGGGGGGCAGTGAAGGATCGGCCAAAAGGTCTGTGATGAGCCCATGTGCTTCTCCCATGACAGCGATATCCACTGTGATACTGGTACCAGAAGACTAAAGAAGAGAAAAATAACACATGTAAGACAACAGAAGTGAACAACTTCTGCTGAGCACTATCTAAAGCTGTGCTGAACTCTCTTCACAACTTTTGTTAAAGTGGTTACCCGCAGAGTGGAAAAATAATAACATGAAATAATTCTTTAAATAAGGAGAATGATGCTGAATAGATTGATCATCAGGCATAATGCTCACAGTCTGCAAAGACTTTGGAACTCCATCATATCTGATTTCATGGCTTTCATCATCTGCAGCTGACAACCCATCCGAATGAATTGTTCAGGTTCCCTACAGAGACATAGTCAATGGCCAGGGGCTATTTGCATAAATAATTTTGGAGACATAGCTTAGGATGGGATGGGAGGAGTCTCTCTTGACAGATGTCTGTCTACTCACTACAGAGGCATCTAGAACAACTCACGTTCAATGCTCGTGCTTGGTTGAATGAAATTAATGCCAGGCATATACTGAGATCTTTAAAATATCACCATGCAACTAAACTACAGTATTCTGGTATGGTGGCAACAACATTCTTCTCCAAGAAATTGAATATTGGGCAGCTATACCAAATATGAAATGGAGTAAAAAGTGGATTTTTCAAACCTTGTTTTATTCAGATGGAAGTGATGAGAATAGCTACTCTACAGACTTGTATGACCAATTCAGATGGTCCTTACTTTCTCTTGGGTTTGAAATATACACCTACTTTACATATATCATTTAGGAAGAATTATTAACAGATGTATAAGCAGAACCAGTATCAGGGACCAGCTCCTATCACCGGCAGATCTTACGCACCCCAACCACGGATATAATTGATGTGCAAATGATGCAACACAAACCAACTGTGGCCCAGGAAAACTGTCTTCATATGTGCAGTCCATCCATCACACACACAGGTAATTTAACACAGCTGTAGCACGAGGCTTCCAGTGCATGCACGAGAGGGTTGATTCGTAAATGCATCTTTGAGTTTCTCCAGAACTTCCCCACAATCAGCAGCTTCGACTACCAGCTGTCTTGAGAACCAGTAGGGCAATATATTGGCAATAAAAGAAACAGTATATTGCCAAAAGCAGGAAAGTTGTCAAGTCTGTGAATTGACAGCTATATGATACAATTGCAAAAGACTGAGGATCTTTAAAAACCTACTAAAAGAACAGTGAGACTGGATGCACACAGAAGCAGAACAACTAGAAAGGCAGGACGCATATGGAATTTCAATGCAGCAGTGACATTTCAGCCTCATTAGCTGGTGTACCAAAACCTGCCATAAATTCTGCATGGAATTGCTAATTCAAGGCACTCCAAGAGTGACCATTTTTCCTTTGCTGTGTTTCTGACACATAAGCTTAAGCCTGCTGCTACTGTTTGGGACTTACCAGCAGGTGTACGTGCAGTTTGCCAGAGAAATCATTCCAGTAGATTTCGTACTAATTTACTTTCAAGTATTTCTTAGAAAAAGCTAAAATACATGGATTTCTAAATGGTGAAGTTATGTCTGTGAAAAGATCATATGAGTTTTTTGGAGAGGCAAACAAACAATATGGAGAATTGGTCAGACTTAGCAGGAGGGTGATCAGAGCCCCATCCAGGAATGACTCACCAGTGACAGTGTTTATGGACCTCAAAACACAAAGAACAGTGTAACACAGCGTGACACTGCTTTGTTCTCACAAAATGCTTTACAGGCAACAGAAAAGTATTTCTGAGGAAAGTGAAATATTAGCTGAGTGCAGCTAAACTCCTCCCCATTTGTGTAGTGTGGACATCAGGTCCCCTTGGCAAATTGATGTTTCACTCCACTGATCCACTCCTCGTGTCCTACTTCTCGCTATCACGGGATCCCCTCCTTGTGTCCTACTTCTTGCTAACACAGAAGTAAACTGAAGAACCAGAAGACAGGCCTCCTCACTCACCATCCTCTCATGCAACCAGAGAAAGAGCTGCTTCTTCCCATATTTCTTTGCCACGCTATGAAATAACATAAACCAGAAGCCGCTTGATATATTGAAGTGCTATTTCATCCTACTGAAAAAAATTAATGTCTGAACTTAATTTAATGGCTCTTTCATTGCTTAACCTCTCAGGAGTGCATGCAGAAGATTCTGGCAGATGCTAAAGAAAATTCTTAAATTAAAAGACAAGGCTTGGGATGGGAGGAATTAATTATCTATCTTAACCTCAGCCTTGAAAAACAGACCAAAGGGGAGTGAGGGACAATATGTCATTCAAAACGCCATAGAAGCCTCATATTTTCAGCAAAACTGCATAATCTACAGTTTGAAATTCTATTAAGCCTGGAGCCTGGAGTTGTTGACTGCCAATCAGAGACAGAGATTAATACTTCAATGAAGTAAACAAGTCTGACTCAGCGGGCTATAAGCAGAGGCCCAGATTTTGTACAGCAGTACTAATATTTTGCAAAGCAGCCAGCATTGTTCTCCATGATTAGCACCAAGTGGGGAGAGGGAGAGTCCTTCTCTTCTCAATGGTGAATTTTCTGCCACATGGCCTCTAACACATGAGGATGCCTTGTCAGGTATCTTGGTGACCCCACCCTGACTCTGGGACCCAGCAGATTTGTCTGAATCATAACACCAGGTTGTGATGAGTTCTGCCAGGACCAAGTGCATGGTAAAACCCATGCAGCCATCCACCCATCCATCCTGCCTGCACAGAGTACACCCAGCGAGGTCAGCACCATGCCTGTAAGGAGATCCACACTGATTTTCCCTCACCAAGATTGAAAATGAGACGTGAACCCCGTCAGCACAGTCCAGTCAGGGTCACCACAAAACATCAACACGTGCAGCATGACATGCTGCATTGCACAAGACTGTGAAAACATTTTACACGGTTCAAAAACATCACTGTATTGTACTGAGCTGCTTTAAATTTGTGTATATGATAGTTAGAGTATTGTCTGAACTGCTCATAATACTTAGAACGCTCAGAATGAGGGCATGTGTAAAAGAACAACAGACCAAGCTTAAATCCCTCTTGAAGAAAAAAGCACAAGAGGGTAAACACTGCTCTAATCCACCAATTTCAGTACATTTACACACATCCTAAATTGGAAAGGTTTATAAGTTGTAATTTAACTGCACAGTACTTGTATACAGGAAAGCACCTTCTTTTCCAAACAGTTTGAATATTTCATCTATCTCAGGGTGAATTTAGAGCACTGCCAGACTAGTCTGACTAGATAAAATTACAGGTATTTAAAGTATTATTTTCTAAAAAAGTTACAAATTGAATGCATGAAAACATTTTAAAATATTTCATTTTTCAGATTCACTACTACAAAACAGTAGAGAACTGCATATACTTTGGAAACCATTATTCAGAAAGTAAACAAAAATGCCTTTCCTTAAAGGGCAAGAAAACCTGGAATTTACTTTAAAAGACATATGATGATGTGAAAGCAAGACATTAATTGGTGAAAATTTTAGACTGATGTAATTGTACATGCACACATTTGCACACATATATATGCACAGTGTCTTTTTCAGGGTAAAAGTGCATATAAAATCCATGTTCAGACTTTGTAAGTAGTTTTCTTCTTACGTGCATAGCCTCTGCATGAACTGATTTGGATTCTTTCCAAACCACTTTACTCATTGCATAAAACAGAACAACAAAGAGCTAAGCTAAGGTGAATTTAATTGCACATTGGTCAGTATGCATTTACTCATCTATGCCAATAATTGTGAATCCAGTTGTCTCCCATGAATTTTGGAGAAGACTGGCTTACTGTTCAATTTGTGACTTCACTCCATCCCTGATTTAAGCAATGTCATGCAGTGACTAAAACTGAAATGCTCTAGGGCAGGAACAAACCCAGATCAACTAAGCATGCTCACTTTTAACTAAGATAAGGAGAAAAATTAATTCCTTATAATGCTGACAAACAGTGGTTTAGGCTGTGGTACAACCTGGAATTCCTAACTGGGTCCAAATGCGCTTGCAGCATGTTTTGGGGCTTCTTTTCATGTACAGAAATAAATAAAAAGGGTTTTCTCCCAAAGAACGCATATAAAAAGTAAGATGGCCAGATCACAGTAGGATGCATCAGAAACTGGGGACAGACATGGATAGTTCACAGTGCCAACTGTGCAATCATCTAAGTTTGCGTTGGTGGGAATTTACAAGAAAACTCTGATGTGCCAAGAAGCACATACACTGCTGCATCTGCAGGACCAAACCATAAGCAGCACGTCCCACTATCACACAGACAATTTTTGTCAGGGCAGGAGGTTTATCTGCAAGGAATATTCTTAAATGCCATATGAAAACAATATTCTAGCAAATTTAAATGAACACTTAGAATTTTGGGGTTTGATTAGTTTGTTTTGGATTCTGTAACAGGACTAGAAAATAAACTTTCAAAATTTGCAAAACCTTTGTTGGGTTTTTCTATTACATTTCACAAAATCCCATTAATTTTCTTTTGTTAAACTATATTATGCATAAAACTCACTCTAAGAATAGCTATTTACTGGCTAGGGGGAAAAGCAGATAGAACTGTGTAGGAGAAATGAATTTAGGAAAATAGGAATAACAATTTCCTTTACCCATAAGACCTGATAGATATATTTAGGTTATGAATTGTTTCTGTTGATTCACCTGTGAAGCAGATTTGACATCCATACACTTAAGAGATACCTTAATGCAAATAAAAGTCTTTCCCCTCCCCATTGATATTTTGTATATGATTCTCATATGACTGAACTCAGCCAGCCTAACTAAAAAATACTGTTCTTTCCACCCTACAAAAAGGATGATTATCATGGCAACACAAAATCAGTCAAAACTTCAGTATAAAAAAAACCCAAAACCAAACCAATTATCTAACACAAACCACAATTCATTTCACTCAGCCTCATGTTAGGGAAAAAAAAAAAATCTTTGTTTGCTGTGGCTTGTACAAGGAAAAGCACTGTAGGCAGAGATGCTGGCCTTTCACCACATTACACTCAAGAACACTCTGTAAG